ATGTTGTGCATGTATATATGATGAATTTTTACTAGTGGCTTAGACCATTGTTAATTACGAATAATTATTTCAACCAATCAAAAATTATATGCTGCGGTAAAAGGTAAAAGCTATTATATAAAGTTGATACACAAAGAAAATACAAAATGCGAGAAGTGTGAATAGGTGAATAACAAACATAACAAACAAACAAAAAAAAAATAAAATAAAATAAAAATATATATATATATATATATAAATATATACACATAATTATGCTTTGCATTTTATTCATAATTCATTATATTGTTCTTTTCATTAATTAATTACCAAATTTTGATTTTATATTGTTGTTAATTCTATTATAATAAGGGGCCACGCTTTTTTTTTTAATTTTACATAATCAGTTAAAATGGTTAAAATGGTTAAAATTTCTCCTTTTTGAATAATGACCATTATTTGGAAAATATTGAATATTAAATAGTATTAATTGGCAATTTTTGGCAAAATGGTTTATTTACAAATAAGTATCACGTAGTCAATCACGAGCACATGTTCCTCGATTCTATGAATAGGTGAATATAAAGTGTATAATTCGAACACGTATCTTTATAAGCTAGACTATCTCTATTAAAATTTGACATATAAAATTTGACATATAGTACATATAGCATATAGCATATAGCATATAGTGTATAGCATTTAGCATATAGTGTATATAGCGAACACTACACTATATACATTACACACTATATACATTACACACTATATACACTACACACTATATACACTGTATTATTTTTTATAATTCGCATTCACATTAATGCATACTTAAAGAGAACTATAAAGACTGCACGAACCATGAAACTGTAAGTCTCCCATAAATAATAAACAATTATTTAATTATTTAGAACCCCACAAAAATAAAAATATATAACATTACCTAAAAGAAAAAAGAAAATGTAATGACATAATTTAATTAAAGTCGTGACCCATTTTACTAAATTATTTTTTTTAAAAAAAAAAATATTTATATTTATGTTTTTTCTCTGAGTTCTTCATTCATTTCTTTCAAAAAAAGAAATTTTGTATTACGCACGCAGCTTTCAATAAGTGACCTTTTAATTACCCCACTTTTTCCCAAAAAAAAAAAAAAAAAAAAAAAATTAAAAAAAAATGTTCCGTTGTCAAAAATTAACAATAGATCATATTGTTCGAAATGCCTTACCTATTTAGTAAAAATTTTTTTGTGAGTTCAAATAGTTCAAATAATTATATAAATATATAAATATTTGTGTAATTATTATTATCAGTGTAAATAAATACGCCTTTTTGTTCGAATTACTTAAATGATTGACAAATGATTAAATTATATATTTCTTTAATGAATTTCTATAATAACTTTATATTTTTTTTTTCATGATCACATTTAGATCATATCATTCAATCTCCTATTTAATTCAATGTAATTTACTGTAATTAAGTTAATCAGGGCTGAATAAAATAGGATATCTCCGGTACAAACAAATCTTTTCCCCAATCCTTGTTATAAATAATTTTTTTTTTTCTTTTAACTTGTAAATTTCTTTTCTTTTCTCAATTTGTTTAATAAACAAAAAAAAAAAAAAAATTTAGAACAACTTTTTAAACAAGTTTCATTTGTCTTTGTTGGTTCATTCTCTCAATTCTCTCACGAGGAGAAAGAATTTCAATCACTTATTTTTTTTTTTTTCGTTGTTTGATTTATTTGGATTCCCTGATATTTAAATATGTTGGCTTATCAATTTATAACCTATATTTATACATTAAATCTTCTAATAGAGATCGTAAAAAAAAATAAACATTTAATAATATTAAATATACTTTTTGATATCATTCACCAGGGGGACAAATCAAAAGGTAATTTGGTAATAAAAGATAATTATTATTGTCAACTTAATTTAGGCCAGATTAATTTTTAAAGTATATTCGTGTTACTCCCACTTATTCATGCATGTCATACATGTCAACCTTAAAATTTTGACATTTTTTTTTTTTCGTGCGTGCGTGATTAAAAAGAAAGAATGTAATTTTTCTTATATAAAATACTTTGAAATTTCACTATTATTTATTAATAAATTAATTTATGCTGCTTATCATTTTGTACGAATGAAAAAAATAGGAACAATATCATGAATTATTTGAAACTTGCATCAAAATAAACTTGTTTTGTAACGGTAATAACGGTAATAAAAATATGGATTTCCATTTCAGTTTATCATAAAGAGAAGTATAATTAATATATATATATATAATAATAATGTAATATATAATATTATATATATATATATCAGTAATTCAGTATCTTTTTTTGTGAATCCGAAACAATACTTAATGCACTTCAATCCAGGCTGTCAATTTTAACAACAATATGTTAAATCAAAATGATTCATGAAAATTACAGATTTTAATATCTAATGTTTATATACTCCATTTTTTAGATACCAAATATAGATGTTTGTCACTAATTTGGATAAGTTAAAAAGAGCGTGAAAAAAAAATTTTTTTGGTTTTGGATAATGTAAATAAATTACTCTTTTTGAAAAAAAATTCAACTCGGTGAAAAGAAAAAAAAAAGGTACTGTAAAAAAAAAAAAATTTTTTTTTTGTTTTGGTATAATCCCATAATAAAACATGGGTATTTGATATCACTTTCCGATTATATATTAACTGTTAAGTAAAATCTTTTTAATATTACTAATTACTATTACTAATATCATTTAAAAAAAAAAACGTTTATAACGTTTATTTAGTATGGAGTTCGTCTTAATGAATACACGTGATCACGTGGGTTTACATTTAATGCGCCTCCGCTGATTTTTTTTAATTTATTGGCTCTCCGGTTCAAATTCACAAAAACAAATTCATTATTCATATATATATAATCTTACTTACTATGTGTAAGATGCACAATGATCCAACTTTGCAGGAGAGTCTTCCTATCTATATCAATAACAATATCATTGAAGTCAAGTATTATGGATCACTCTACAAAATATGGCTAAAGCGTTTAATTCAATAGAAATGTTGCCATGATACTCTAACAAAGGTTTACAGCTGGGGATGGCATAGATCCTAAGACAATTTTACAGCTGGGGATGACAGAGATCCTAAGACAATATCACTCTTATTAAACTAATACAACTGCCTATAGACTATAGTATTCCCTTTTATGAATACCCCCCAATAAAATATATTTAGATTTAAAAATCAGAATATTTTTAAAATAGTTATTTTAAATCAAATTTAAAGTCTCATATCTAGTACTATCAGGATCGTAGTGGAGTACTTTAAGCAGTACTAGACGATAAGATATGAACTAGACAAACAGAATAGACAAATAGAATAGAATCAATAATTGTCACTTACACAATATTTGGCGACTTTTTTTTTCAAACTCAATTATATCAATTACAGTATTCGTTTTTTTTACAGTTAAAAAAAGAAAGACAATTCAATTTATTACTATAATTTAAAAAAAAACCAAAACATTAATTTATTACTATAAATTAAAAAAACCAAAACAGAATGAATGCAATGCAATGCTTCCAATAATTTGCAGAAACCTAAACTTTAAGTATCACTCTATATAGTTAATTGCTAATGGTAACTTCATTTTAATCATTTAGTTATAAAATACAGTTATCATTATGGTTTCTATTAGGTATTTTAAATTGATTTCTTTTTACAAATATGGTTTCTATTTTATTATTTCATATTGGTTATAAAAAAATAATAATTTAATTGTTTTTTTTAAATTTAAAATTCAGTCAACACATTCTATTAAATAATTGATATAGGTAGGCCCAGATCCAATTATCTTTTTTTACATAAAATACATGGGTTCATCTCCGGGATATTAAATACCAGAAGCAAGATTAGTTTTTATTATGTTGCGTTGAGTATCCGAGACTCCAAGTTATCGTGGCCACAAACATTAAAAAAAAAATTTATTATTCTAAATTTTTTTCGTATTTTTATTTGGAGCATCAAAAATAATACCACGAATACCATGGTAAGAAAAAAAAATTTTTTTATTGTAAAAAAATTTCTTCATTTTAACGTATGCAAAAAATGAAAATTTGATCCTAATTTCTTTCAATACAAGAGGTTCATGTAAAACTGGTGTACTTGTATATAAGACTTGTTATGTATCTATACTTCATTTCCCCCGGTTGCATATGTTTGATTTGGCCTGTTTTATATTACTTGTAAATTTAACATTCCCCAGATTTTTTACGCACTGCATTTCGTCATTCCGTTAATCCGGGTTCACTTTAGTGAACATCATTCCCTCGCAAATCAATAAAAATGACCAAGGATTAACAACACATCCCCAAATTCCATATGCGAAATAATGATTACCGGAAAAAATATCCATACTGAATATTATTTATTGTTATGATAATAGGCACAACTGATCTTCTAATTCATCTTTTGAATCCACTTGTTCTATTAACCCTAGATGCTGACAATCAGATCAAAATCTTACTAAGCACGAACTCTTGTAAAAGTAGCATAATCAGTATTCTTGCAACAGCTACTATCATGGCCGGGATATGACAGCAAAAATAAACGCAAATCAAAATCTTAGAAAATAATGTGCAAATCTTAGACAGAGGCGCTTCGCAAGAATTTTTCCGGCGCATTTCAGGCCGATCGATTTCTGACTTTTAGATTTTAGCTCATCACGCCTAGCATTCTGCAACAACCTTGATTCTACTCCTGAGTTTGGCATTCTCAGCTTCGTGCTTGGTCTCTCTTCTGCAACCTGCCTTGAGAGCTTGGCTTTCTCAGCCTCATGCTCATTGATGCATTTTTTCGATAATTCAAGGTTATATGACATATTTGATAATTTTATACAAGTGAAAAGTTGGTTTGAATCAACCAAGTAACAATTAGAGTTTTGGGTTTGCTTTAGCAACAGATATATTATTAATTCTTATTATATTATGATCTATTATGTTTTTTATAATCGTCGTTAATAACTTTTAGAAGTGTTTATTGCTAAAAAAAAAAATCGCCTGTATTTTTTTTTTTTTTTAAAAAAAAAATAAAATTATTAATTGCAACATTTTTTTTATAAATAAAATACTTTTGTGAGGTACGAAGCTATATTATCTAAGAAATCAATTCCTTTGCGACATTAAGACCTCTTGTTGAATGTAGTAAAGATCAATAGTAAAATTAGCACCAGGATTAATTCCAACTGGCGCAATAGGAATGTATCCAGCAGGAGGTGGGATTGTTGGCGGATTAAAGAAAATCTCATTAACTGGAATGTTTACTACAAAAGCGGGGAGTCCCGGACCGATACATCCAGTGGTGGGAATAGGTCTGTTTCGTTGGATACGGCCCCCTCTTGGAATTGATCCAAAATCCCACTGGAAATACATTTTAAGAAATGGTGAGGATTAGGGTTAACACTAATTACAGATAGCAAATAAGCTTACCTCTCGATAACCTGCTCCTTGCGTCCAGAGCCTTGCTGTCATCGCTCTATATTTTCGACCTTGGGCATCTCTCGCATTATTTGGTTTATGCAATTTGATTGCAAACACGTAGCGGACGTAAACCACCTGCAACCACAATTGACATTTGGCTATCCAGTCGCGGACCGATTGATGATTGCCTAACTCAACTATTATCCTTGCATGCGAGTTACCCTAGAGATAATGACATTAAGGAAATCACATTCTAAAATAAATATGCTAATGCATTAAATTCAAAATACATACATTATTGTCGCTCGGAGGAGGGCCCGGATAGGGAACAGTAGGTTTTGGGACGTAAGGTTCATTTGGAGCTATTGCGAGGTCAGGGGCCATTTTCCTCCTTCTTCTCAGTATGCTTACAACGGGACTAGGATGAACTAAAAAAGGATTTAAAAGGGTGTAAATGTTAAAAGTGATTACTACCAAAGAACAAATTGATGGGAGGAATGGTTCTTTTACGTGTATCGGTTGAAATTACTATTGGACGATTAGGCGCTGGAATGCCTGGACCATTGAAAGCATTAAAACAAATGCCTAAAGTAAAAGCGACTCTTGCATGTTCTGTATTAGACATGTCGACGATAAACACATTGCCGTTATCGTCGTGTTGGTATTTGTATCCGCGAGGTGCTTTATACTCAAGAAACTTGTTGAATTTCTTTATTGATACGTTTGTACCAATTCGTAAGGGCAAGCTACATTTATTACACGTCAATATTGGATATCTTGAAATTATCTGTGTAATAACTACCTACCTTTCTTCGTCTATTTGACTTGGAACATGAATCCGATTTGGTATAATTGAAGTTTTTAACCTTTCCAGAAAGGGTCCTGGCCTATTTACGTGAAACATTTTGAAAAAAAAGAAGAGAAAAAGATTATATTTGTTGATTAACAAATACTGATTAAATTAATTGTTCTAAGGGCAAGGACATTCTATTACGTAATATTCTTAAAAATATATATATAGTGTATGTAAGGGGGTGGGTGGCGTTAAGACTTATAACAAATGGATATTGTCACTGCCCTAAATATTTAATGTTGATCTACCGTATTATTACATATCAGGTGATAAGTGAAGAAACAAGTTGCGAAATTTCAAACTTGAATTTTATTGCTTGCAAGTAAGACAATATTATCCATAATCCCACGGCTGAGCTAATGCAAAATTATAATTATCAATTCTCCTAAAATTATTTCATGCTCTAAGACAGATTTGATAATTAACTCGGGATTGGATTTGGTTTTGTAGGTGATAGGCTTGATGTCCAGTTTCTTTGCATCAGTAAATTTTTTAGGCTATGGATCCTTAATAAATTATCACAGAATCCTTAAGGATCTGGAAATTTATAGAATCCTTAAAAATCCTTAAATGAATTATAAAGATCCTTAAGAATTCTATAAATTACTGGGTCCTTAAAGATTCCTAAAAAAAATCTTTAAGAAATCCAAAAGTTTTTTAAATAAAATTAATGGATCATTGAATTGATTATCGGCTATGTATCACATATATCATGTGATATAATCTTAATAGCTGATCCTTTTTTTGTTACTTTCTCGTCCTTGTTTTCCTTCCCTCTCTATAAAATCCATAACGAAACATTGAATAATGTTTCGCTATTTTTTTTTAGTCGGCGGTCAGATTCTGGTAAGATTTATAGCTTTTTTTATATATTTATATATTTAATATGTTTAATATTTTCTTTGTTTTTTTTAGACGACTCTTTCAGAATTCTTTGGAGGCGATATTCTGGTAAGTTTTTTTTTATTTATTTCTTCCATTTTTTAACGAATGGTTTCCAATGGTTCATTTCTTTCTCTTTTTTTTAGATGGTCAGGTCTTTTTCTTTTTAGGTTCCTTTCAGATTTTTATGGCACACGACATTTTTACTATTTTTTTTTTTATTTTAACGAAACGTTAACTAACATTTCATTTCATTTTCTTTTTTTTAGACGTCCTTTTTTTTTGGGTACTTGAACGTGAATTTTGGCAAGTAAAACAAAGAAATTTTTTTTATTAACAAACAATACTAACTGTTCATTTTTTTTTCTTTTTTTTTTAGGAATTTTTTAAGTCTAGATATGGAACCATGGTAAGTAAAAAAAGCTAAAAGTTTTTTTTTACTTAATGATTTCTAATTGTTTGTTTTCTTCTTTTTTAGGTATTTTTTTCAAGTCTCTAGACATGAAGATGTAAATAGAAGTGTGGTGAATACCGGTAAGTAAAAATAAAATTATTTGGTTTTTTATTTAATTTGACGACCATTATTAACCGTTCGTTTTTTTAACAGGTTTTTTCTATAGATGTAGTCATGTGAAATGCTGGTAAGTAAAAGAAAATGGTTTAAATTTTTTTTATATTAATGAACATTCTAACTGTTTATTTTTTATTTTTTAGATTAAATGAAATGCGAAGCCTCACACATTTTTCAAGTTATGGAGTTTTTTTGAGTCTCTCTGGGTATAGGATAACGGTAAGTAAAAAATTTTTTTTTTTTTATTTTTATTGTTTTTTTTATTATAATGAACTTTACTAACAATTTGTTCTTTTTTTTAAAAAAATGTTTGGTATAAGTGTAAAAAATGTAAACCGAATCTCTGAATATTTCTTCAAGAGGATAATATTTTACATATCATTACATAATTTTTGTAACTTTTTAAAAATTAATATAATTAGATGGGTCTTAGTATTTTATTAATAAACCCATTTTTATTTAATATTCTTGATTAGTTAGCTAAGGATATGTAATAATATATGGGAAATAATAAATAATAAACATAATAAAAATAATAATCCATAAGGATCCACACCCAAAAAAATATAAAAAGGCTTTTTATATTTTTTGTATAAGTTGAAATGAATCTTATCTGTCGTAATTCAGTTAATTTGGCATACCAGTCATTGGCATGTCTAAATTTTATATGATTGTGAATCAATTTAAATTAAGTAATAGCCATCATAAATTAGCCCTATAAAAAAATATCATACAGTGCATTACCTCTATACTCAATCAATAGCTTATAGTAACAATTAACAATTAATCAGTTTCAAATTCCTTACTAATTATTTAAAAAAGTTGACCAATAATTTTTAAAGTTCACAACTTAAACTTTATTTTACTTATAATATCCAAATTTATTTTTATATATAGTAACAAATTTTAAAATCATTTTTTCATTAAATAATAATTTATTAAAAAAAATTTTATGAAAAATAAAATTACAAAAGTAGGATTTAATATGACTATTAATTTCTAATTATCTCTTAATAGTCTAGAAGATATTTGAAATATTAAAAATCCTTTGCAAAATGTCAAAAAACTTAACTTTAGATAATGCATAAGAAATTATTAGACAACAAGAAAAAATGTATTCTTTCAGATAAATATACTAATAATTATTTATTTATACAATCAAAATGTACTAAAAATATGAAATACCATATTTATTAATGTAAAATATTATAGTAAATCAGTAAATGATAAGTACAAAATCAACTTAAAAAAGAATTATGAAAAAAAAATTTAATTATCTTAAGATATATTTGGTATTATAAAGGCCTATATTAATTATTTTTAAATATCTTTGTAAATTGAAATATTTACTTTTATAATATAATGTATTTTGCAAATAACTTTCTGTTTTATTATTTTAATATGTATTTATTTATATATAATATATTATAATGCAATTTTATATATTATTTAATTAAATATTATAGCCATATTATATAAGTAATTTTAAATGTTTTTCTTATTTTCATTGCAAGAAAAATAATTATAGATAGTTAAATATAAAAGATTCAAAAAGATAAAAGATATATTAACCTTTTTTTGCTTTTAAAACCACTATAAGATTTAATTTGACATATTTATTCATTAATATAAACAATTTATATATTCTCTATATTATTTTTGAAAACTTGTAAATATTTATTAAATAGCTATTTAGCATTTTAGCTTAGATCAGCTATTTAATTTAAAAAATTTTACAAAATATTTCAGTTATAAAATAAAGAGAAAAATTAATTAAAAACCAGATAAAGAAAAATTATTTACTTAATGAATTAGAAATTTATTATATAAAACTGTTATGATAATAATATTATTGTTTTTTTAACTTATATTTTATTAATAAAGTTAAAATTTAGCCTTTTATATAAATAGATAAATAAATAGTTGACTATTTTATATAAATATTAGTATATATGGAAATTATTTAAAGCAGAAATAAATTATATAATTCAATATAATATAAATAGACTAATTTTTTATAAATTAAAATTAATAAACTTGAAAATTAGAAAAATAAATATATCTTAGCTTATTCTACGAGTTTATTTTTTTAGAAAAAGTAGATTTTAAATACTGTTTTTAACTTTACATAAATAAAAGATTTTTACCAATCATATTTAAAAATAAATAAATAAAAAATAAAAAGTCAAATAAATTGAAATGGTATCAAAACTTCATTTTATATTTTAAATAAACCTTGCAAAACAGATTAAAATATATTTAACATATATATTTAAAAGATTGTATATATATAGTAAAAGGTTTTATTTAGAAAAAATTTTTTTTTATTGTCATATAATTTATTTTTACTTTAAATATTTTCTATATATATTTTTAATAAATTTTATAAAACTATATTTACATATCATATAAATTACTATTGATTTGTATTAAAATATAAAACCAGATTTTTATTTTGATTATTTACATATTTAGTAAAAAAAATTAAATTAAATTTTGGGTACTGAGCAAAAATATAACTAATATTTGCGATTTAAAAAAAAAAATCAATATAAACTTTAATATATTTTTATATATATTGTCACAACTTTCTGAAATTATGACTGAATTTGAAAGTTCAAAACTTATTGGATCTGAAATCTCAAAAATCAAGTTGAAATTTGAAATTATGGTCAAAATATGAAAATCTGGATGAAATTTTTATTATGTGGTCTGAAATATAATTTTTTTTTAATGGGAACTCTTAAGAGTTTGAAAGTTTTTGTAATTCTGGCTAATTGTAATGCCAGCCAGAATTATGTTCTGCATGACTTCAAATAAAAGTTTAGCCATCAGGTAAGAATATTATATAAGAAAATTTTGCTCTTATAATGGAATTTTATGTGTTACACAAATGTTATACAAACTTGTAATGTGGGCTGAAATTCAATAATGCTGGCCAGAAAATTTTAGCTCAGTTTTCAATTTTTGACCAGAGTTTTGTTTCAAAATGATTGGTCAAAAATTGAATTCTGAAATTATATATGCCAAAATTGCCAAGTTTTGGCAACATGTATAATATTCTTAATATCTGAAAAAAGTGAATTATACCTATTTTCTTTTATGAATTTTATTTGAAAACTAATATATGATTGTGATTAAATAATATTTATAATATTTACAAAATCAGTAATACTTTTCTTATAATAATTTTTATAAGTAGGGCTAATATTCTCATTAATACTAATTTTATTTTTATTTCTTTACAGATTTACTATCAGTCAGTTTATATAATATATTTGTACTAAATTCCAATCAAAATAAAATTTATTTAGAACTTTTTTTACTATAAAAAATTGTTAATTATTTTAATAGAATAAAATTAATAAGAAATACAGTTTCTTATAATATTTAACTGCATATTAACAGTTCATTTTTTATTAGTTGTGCTATTATACTATTATATATATATATATATAATTTAATATGACTATAATAATTATAAAATTATGATTAAAAACTTATAACTGAAAAATCTATATATTTTTCAATTGTTATATATCTTTATATTACTGGTATCTATATTAAGTAAAAAAACAAATAATTTTAATTTTTTAAGTACTTTTTTTATTGAATTTTTTAAGAATTGAAATACAGTAAATTACAATTTAAATGCATATTAGTGAAAAATATATTATCAAACTTTAAACAAATTATTTGATTTTTTGTATAGTTTTAATTTCAATTATTTATTTATTATAAATATTGTGAAGAAAAAAAAATTAATAAAAAACTAAAAAGCTATAAAACAATTATGATTTAAGAATTTACCCTTCATTATTTTTTTTTATTTTTTTAATTTTCTTTTTCTTAATAATATTACTAAAATTTTAGTTGATAAAAGTGAATTGAAAGCTTATTAATTTCTTTGAATTTACTTTTTTTTTTCTCTTTTTTATTTTTTTGCTTCTTTATAATCAGGTTTCTTAAGAGAAAAAAATGTAAAAAATTAATAATATCTAATAAATAAAAATCTATTAATTACCTTGTAAACTTAATATTAAGCAATTTATTTGATATATTAGCAGTACTAGTAGTAGTATTAGCATTAAATTACCTTACAGATTTAATATAAAAAAATTTGCAGTTTATTTTATACCTTATATTGATAAATTTGAATAATAGAAGTTTTACAGATCCTTTATTATATTACTTTATACTAAAATTATTATATTTGCCTTTTTATACCAATATAATAAGAGTTAGATAAACCCTACTTATTTATAATAAAGGTTGGATTATTATAGAAAATTGGCCTTTTATTAATGATTTTTACTTTACTTTTTTCTTAAATTCTATTAGTTAATTAGTTAAAAAGAAAAAAATTATAATAATATAACATAAAATTTTCTTTTATAATAGAATTTGTAAAGAATTTTTTATTTGATTTTTACTTTAAGCCTAAAGATAACTTATTTTATAAGTAAGCAGGATTTTAATTAGGCTTTATTATATCTTATATAGTTATATTTAATTTTTCTGTTTAATAATATTTTCAAAGAAAAGGTAATGAAGTTCAATTTTTTATTTAAAATATTTCTTTTTACATTTATCTAAGAACTTCCAAATATTTTAATTTGTAGTAGCCATTTGTTCAAAGTATTTATATATTGTACTATTGTTTATATTTATTATATTTAAACCTTCAGATTATTGACAAAGAAAGAACTGACTAAACATATTGAAATATATTCATATATATAGAATCAAAAGCATGTTTATTATGTATAACTTATCTGATAGCTCATTAGATCAATCATCAGATTAAAAGTTAATTTTAGTGTAACCAGAATTTAATATTATATTTTATATGATGCAAATTATAGTTATAAGAATTGCATCATAGTTCAACCTTATCTATAATGATCTTAACAGTTACTTTTTTTCTAATATCTTGTATGATTTTAGTTGAATTTTTTATTTATATGAATATAAAAAATTAGATTTAATAATATATTATTTATGGAGTATTTTATTATTTGCAAAATTTTGTTTATATATTCATTTTTACTTGAACAGTATAATAAGCTAATAAGAACTGTTATACAGAATATTTATTGATTTTTTTACTTTATATTAATACTAATATATAATTAATTCATTTTGTTACAAGATATTAGATTAATTCTAAAAATCATGTGATTCTAAATAATTGCAGTGACAAATAATGGCACAAATTACACAATATATGAGATAGTACGTTTTTGTTAAAAATGCTGAAAAAAAAACGAGTTTTAAGGTTCTTTGAGGGCAAGTTATGTGCCCACGCGGGCTGCGGGCGCAACATAACCAAACAAACACGATTTGTACTTTTCTTACTAAATTTTCTCTTATCATTAAAATAATGAATTGAGCTATGAGTCTTGCCCAAAGAAGCAGGAAATTTTGTACGCCAATTCGCCAATTCGCCAAGTTGCATTTATGCTTTTTTTTTTCCAAACTAGTGATAAGCTCAAATATTGAAAGGTTGTTCCCCCACATTTCATCCAAATTTATGCTTGAACTACACAAATTACATCAGTTTCCAATCGGACCCACCCTTGACCAATTTGTGATCTTAATATTCTTTTTGTATCAACCACAAAGAGTTGCATTTTCGTTTATGCCTATTATCTGTATGAGCTACCTTGTATATGCCTTTTCTTGCAACTAACCTTTCTCCCTCCTTTTTTTAAAAATAGCTTTTTGTTGTTCCTATCCAAACTAGTTCGTTGTCACTCGCATAAAAACGGATATATTGGGGTTATTTAATTTTTTTCCTCTTTTCCCTTTTTTTTCGACGTTATTAACCTTTTACTCCGACCGTAACTCCTTTTGTCTCTAAGTTAAAATTTCCCCTTCTCTTTATCTTTTTCCATATAACACTTTCACACGGCCATTTAAAAGTAATTTTCTTCCTTCCACTTTTTTTTTAGCTTCTTGCGATTTTTCTTTAAACAATTTATAATGGCTAAAAAAGGAAAACAAGATCTTCCACTTCATAAAGTCATCATGGTCGGTTCGGGTGGTGTAGGCAAATCTGCTTTGACTTTGCAATATATGTATGGCGACTTTGTTGAAGAATATGACCCAACAAAAGCAGACTCATATCGTAAGAAAGTAACGTTAGATGGACAAGAATGTCAGATTGACATTCTAGACACTGCTGGACAGGAAGAATATGCTGCCGTATCCTTTTTAGCATTATAGGGATTTATAAAATGTAAAAAAAAAAAAAATTTGAAATTCGGTACAAGTTTAGTTATTTAGACAAGAGACATTTTATTATTATTTCGATTATGATAGGAATGAATAATAATCACATCAATTTTTTTGAATTCAATCTTATATTATTGAAATTAATTTATAATTATATTTCCTTGACGATTTGTTATTTTATAATGAAAGATTCGTGATAATTATTATCGGTCTGGCGAAGGCTTTTTATGTGTTTTTTCAATTTGCGAGTATGAATCATTTGTACATACGCAAGATTTCAGAGATCAAATTTCACGAGTACTTGATGATGATAGCGTAAGTAATAATAATGTATGAAATTCGACCCATTTTATTTAAACTTTTTATTTTATTTTATTCTATTTTTTTAATTATAAGTAAAATTTTTTTTTATATATCATATTATGTATTTTGAATTGCTTTTTTTCCTGAAAAGAACTAATTTTTATAAAACATTTCTAGATACCCTTTATTCTTGTCGGTAATAAAGCCGATTTAGCCAAAATTCGGAAGGTTCCGGAAGAGGAAGCTAAAAATAGAGCTCGTGAATGGGGTTGCGATTATTATGAAACTTCTGCAAAAACACGAAAGAATGTTGATGAAGTATACAATGAATTAATGAGGAAAATAAAAAGTCGCAAGGATTCTAACAAGGAGAGAGAAAATAAGGATAAAAGAAGCAAATGTGTTTGCTTGTGATGAAATAAAGGCTTTCGTAAGATTTTATACTTCAGGATTTGATATATACATATATTTTCACGTGTTATAAATAATATTATAGTTAAACATTTCATACATAGATTTGAACATGAACAATTAATGGCCAAAATTGCATCACCATTTTTTTGACGCATTCAGATCCGCATAGATATATATTTTGTTTGGGATACATTGCATTTATTAGTATTTCTTTATTGCCACTCATTTCATGATTATTTATCAGTTCATCATTGGACAATTTATTTAATTCATTTTTTATGTTGTTTTAGACTTGTATATCACATATTCATAAATATTTTTTTTTTACCCTTAACCCTACATTGTGTAATAATTATTATCTTGGTGATTTCACGCATATTCCTTGTAATTTCTTTTTTCCGCAAGTAAAAACCACTTTTCGATTCTATTGTATTTATTATTTTATTTATTTATTTACTTTTTTCTCCTAATATAATATATTTTAATTATTTTGTTAAATAAATCTTTTTCGCCTAAAATTACGCCCAAGTTTTTTTAGATTGATTTCATTATCTTTCCTTTTCAAGGAACTAAAAAAAAAATTCTGGAATCTAATCAATATAACAATTTTTAATTTTTATTTAATACAATTAAGGAATAAGAATTAAGGGGTAAACAGGTATTTATCATTATTCTTCTTGAGCATGGAATATTTTTTAGCCCATACATCACGCGTGTATCGTGAATTTTTAACATATGAATGATTGAAATTCGACAAAGTGAGTAAGATTTTCAATAAAAATTTTAAATTCAAATTGATCTAAAAAGTAAATTACAATGAATATTATTATTATTTATAATGATTTTATCGACTATTGGTAACAGTTCATTGTGTGCGCAATGTCACATGATTTTAGGTGATTTTATGTTTCTAATGATGACTAAGCCACAATATCTATAATTTTAAAAAAAGAAGAGCTTTAAAATTGTAAAAACTTTATTATGTTACAAAAATAATCAACAAAACGTTATTTTAATTTAAATGCCTTATCCGCTTATCACAATTAAATCTATGTGCGCAATGTGCGAAAATGCGCGGAAAATAAGCAATGTGCGGAATTACAGTACTGTACATATCATATTAAATGTAAAGCGCACACAAAAATTTTTGGATTTCTCACACTTCGCGCATTGAATTGGACTTTCTCACTCACTGTCCCACTCGTGAGATGTGGCATAGCTAAAGCAAAAAGCATATATGAGTTATTTCTAAAAGATATTTGGATAAGTCTACTGTAGAAAACCTTTTCATTTATAAATAAATTTTACATTACTATGTGTAATAATCAATTAGAAAGAACGGAATCTGGTCACCTGAAAAAAATTCCCGGCATTAGGATCATTAGGATCAGGATCAGCAGTGCCGATCAATTATAATATTTAATCCTGGCTTCTCCACTTGAAGATCTGGTACATTATTTATACCATTATACCATTCCACGATTACTGGAATATTATTTTCGTATTACTTATTTATGAATTGAGCACATAGATGACTCGAAAGTCTATCTATGTATTTGATTTAACTGATTTACCAGGAATCCACTTTATTCCCGTGAAATTAATTGGGTAATCTCAGAGCACTACAGCAGATGTTCATTTACTCGTGATATAACATTTCTATTTCGTTTTATTCCAAATTTATCCTTCTTCTGCTAATTCTCAGTATTTAAAAAGAAATCAGGTGATAAAAAAGAAGCACCGCCTAATATTTAGTATCTGAAATCTGCTCAAGTTTTCGCCTTAGTGAATCACAATTTATGCGATTTAGTTCAATTACTTTCTTCACTTAGATAATATTTAACAATTGATAGTTTTTTTTTTGAATGAGGTTTATTTTAGCAATAAGAATACGATAGTGATAGATCAACAACTTACATATTTCGTTCGTTCAATTGGTGTTTCTGTGAAAATCGGACTCGAGATCTTGCTTGAATTCGTGTTTAATGTAACACAATTTACGAAATAAATCTTAGATTTCCGTTATCTACAGTTTTACGGTTTTGATAATCCCAGCTTCTCAAAATAAAGAAATAATAATGGATGAAATACAAACACTTAAGTCGAATTACCTTCAGAAATGTCTAACGCGCAAACAATGACAACACAGACGCCTTTGTTAAATAAACCAAACATAAACACTATTAAAAGAAAGATTATTTTAATCCTTTCGGGGTTAATTCTTGTCAATATTGGTGTTTGGATAGCAGCCGCAATTGCTTTTCGCAATTTCTCTTTATTGGGAACATCCGTGTTAGCATATACTTTAGGACTTAGACACGCTGTAGACGCTGACCATTTAGCAGCAATTGATAATGTTACTAGAAAACTTTTACAGTCTGGTCAATATTCTGTGTCAGTTGGGCTCTTTTTTTCTTTAGGTCATTCTACTATTGTCATAATTGCGACTTTTGCCATTGCTATAACTGCAACTGCTGTAAAAAAAAAACTTGGTGATCTTAAAGCAATAGGAGGTCTTATTGGAACAAGTGTTTCGGCAGCTTTCCTATTTATAATTGGAATAGTGAATTGTTTCTTACTGGTTTCTATATTACGTTCACTTAGAAAATTTAAACGTACTGGTACATTTGAAGAAGAAAATATAGAAGATCTTTTTAATAATTCCGGATTTCTCGGAAGATTTTTTAAACCTGTATTTAAATTCATTGACGCCAGTTGGAAGATGTATCCACTTGGTGTACTTTTCGGTTTCGGTTTCGATACTTCAACAGAAGTAGGTTTATTGGGGATTGCTGCAATTCAGGCAAATCAAGGACTTTCTATTTGGTTAATTATGTTCTTTCCTTTACTTTTTACATCCGGAATGGCTTTAATTGATACGATTGATGGTATACTAATGTTGGGAACTTATACATGGGCTTATATAAATCCAATTCGAAAATTATATTACAATTTTGTTATCACATTGCTCTCAGTTTTAATAGCTTTTGTCGTTGGTACTATAGAACTTTTAAATATATTAGGTGATAAGTTGAATCTTCAAGGTCCTTTTTGGAATTTTTTTGCGGCACTTGGAGAAGAATTTGGTACTATTGGCTATTTAATAATTGGTCTATTTGTCTTCACTTGGGTGATTGCCACAATTGTTTATAAATATGGAGGTTATGAAAAGTTGGTACATAAGTTTGATCAAAGAAACGTTCAAAATTTGGATAATGTTAATGATGAATTAAATCAAGGCGGTTCAAAGCATAGTATTGACATAGACGTTGAACATTCGGAAAATGAACGTCATTCTAAGGGATCCATTGAAATTCACGATAACTAAAAATTCATTTATGGAGCGAATTCCCCCCTGGTTAAGTACAGAAATTATTTTTAAATTATCTGAAATAAACACAATTTTTACACTTTCCTAAATTCCGACTGAAATTAACCATGATTTAAAATCTAACCAATAAATCATTGTCGTCAAAAAAATATAAACTCGTTATTATATTTCATAAATTTATTTATTCACATAAAATATTTTAATTTCTCCACGGGTTTATAATATTCGCGATTAATGATCATGACCATCATCTCTTTCTCTTCTTTCCGGCTCGACCTAATGAAGAAAGTAATCAGACATGTTTATTGTGCAAAGACGACAAAAATTAAACAACCCTAACCTTTATCATATCATCAATTCTAAGAATGGATATTGCTGCCTCAGTTGCAGACTTCAGCGATTTAATTTTTGACATAGCAGGTTCTAGAACACCAGCTTTCAAATTATCTCTGACTTCACCCTTAAGAAGTTCAAGGCCATAATATTTTAAAACTTTCTTTGGATCATCCGGTGCAGCATTTTGGGATGTATTATGATATGCTCTTAATTTTGCAACTAAGTCAGTAGAATCCTTTGCAGCATTTACAGCTAGTGTTTTTGGTATTGCAAGAAGTGCGTTTGCAAATTCAGCTATAGCAAGTTGTTCTCGCGATCCCTATAATAGTTTTAGAATTAAAAATTTATCTTAACAGTATAATGTTATTGATTTAAATATAAATATCATACCAAAGTTGTCGCAAAGTTTTCTAAATAAATACTTAATGCTGTTTCTACCGCACCACCACCTGGAACGACATTACCACTTTCAAGGGTCCTTTTCACAACTGACAATGAATCATGTAATGATCTTTCCATTTCATCCAACATATAATCGTTGGCACCGCGTAAAATGATTGAAGAAGAATTTTGACTTTTAGTACCCTTGATAAGAATGCACTCGTCATCTGAAATGCGTTCTTGGATAACTTCTTCCGCGGTACCAAGATACGATGATTCAAATGTTTCTTCTCCCTCAAGATTAGCAAGAGTGGAAATAAGCGTGGCTTGATTTTATTAAAGAGTGTAGAATGTGAATATTTATTCAATTGAAATAAATGCAGATTACTGATAATTACCTCCAGTAGTTTTAGCAATTCTTCTCAAATCTTCCTTTTTACATCGACGAACCGCCATAGCCCCACTTTCTACAAAGAATTTTAAACAAAGGTCATCAATACCCTTTGTTGTAAGAACAACATTGGCTCCCGCAGCAAGAATTTTTTGAACGCGTTCGATAGTAATGGTAGCCTCGCTATGTAATTAAAATAAATAAGTCATATATAACTAATATTATTCGACAGGATGTTTAATTATGTACCGCTTACGAATATCCTCTAATTTATCTGGATCATCTACAGTGATATGAACACCTAAATGCATCCTTGCTTTTTGAAGATTCATATCTAAACACGCTATTTTAGCATTCGTGATCTTTGTCTTCATAGCTAGAAATTTATATACGTTACATATTCAATATAGGAGAATATAATAAACTTAATACAAGTTATTGTAGTACTATACCTTGAGAAGCAACAGTGCAATTTAAAGCATATCCTTTAACAAAAATCGATTCTCGAGTACTCTTGCCATGAGCCTTGAGAACATTAACAGCTTTTACGGGATATTTTACTTCACCACGAGAGTTTGTGGATTTAACAGAAAGAATTGCATCTACAACAATATTTGCGAAGAACTCATCATCACTTAACACCATTAAAGAAAATAAGAATTAAAGAGGTATTTATAGATTATGAATGGCTATTTGATAAATAAAATATTTTTCTTACGTTCCGATTATCTTACTAGCCATACTTGTTTTTGCAACATTTATGAGACATTCACGTCCCAATGTATCAACTTTGGTAGTTAGATGATCAGCAATATATTTACATGCTTCTTTGCTCGCCAACCGATAACCAGTAATAATTGTGGTTGGATGAATTTTATTCTTCACGAGCTCATTTGCACGGCGAAGTAGTTCTGCAGCTATTATAACGACCGATGTTGTACCATCGCCTACTTCTTTATCCTGTTGCTGAGCAAGTTCTACAAGAACTCGTCCAGCAGGATGTTCAACTTCAAGCAAATTAAGAATTGTTGCTCCATCATTTGATATTGTAACATCCTAACAAATAAATAAATAATTCATTTCATTTCAGACTTCTTATTATTATGATTCGATTTGTTCGATTCTCAGATGGCTTATAATTATTAATACCTACACCAATATCATCAACTAACATTTTATCTAATCCCACTGGACCAAGAGAACTTTTCACAATATTCGCGATAGACATAACAGCAAGTACTAGTAAAAAAATATAAAAGAAATAAGTAAAAAAAAAAACTTATTACTTCTAACGTGTATCCTCAAAAGTACTTTTATTCAAACTAAACAGTAGATATTTAAGAGGTGAAAATTGTAAAAAAACTATCACACACAATAGATAAACTAAAAGTAAGCGTTATAAAAAGGATTATAATAATTAGATATCAAGTTTCAAGCAAACCAAGCTTCTCGAGAGCGTAGTTCAACATACCATTCTGGTTGCGCACCTCATTCCCAGAAACTCTTTCGCCGCCAAGAAAGAGTGATTGGTTACGATCGCGTTGGAACATATTTTTAAATAAAAGTTTGATAAGAATATAAAAAATTCTTTTTTTAATGATTGCAAAAAAATTTTAATCACGTGCTCAGGTTGTTGGCGCAGATTTGATATAGGGTGTATCCCATGTACCCCGAAATCAAAGTTAAAAAAAAAAATTATTATTTCGTTTTATTATTATAACAGGAAATTATTATAAGAAGAATTGGGAGTTAGAAATAATAAACAAACGAAAGTGCAAGTAACATTATACAAAGAAGAAAGGGTATACTGTAATCTTTTGTAAATATAGAAAATATGAATCCAAAAACCATACCACCGCTAATTTAATTACACAAGTTCACTATATGAAATTAATATTATAAAATAAGGTTAAAAGGATTATATAATCGTATGATCATATGATCTATATACCTAATCGGTCCGTTTTTTATAGTTTTTAATCATTTTAATAAAAAATATTGCGAAACGTTTTTTTTTATTTCAGTTCGCAACAGTAACGGTTTCCGTTCCTAGTCTTAGGAGATTAACTAAAATGACTTATGATCAGTCATATAACAATTTAATAATTATTTCTTACAATTTTACAACTTTATAAAACTTATTTTTACAATTTAATAATTATTTTTTACAGTTTTACAATTTATAAAACTTATTTTTACAATTTAATAATTATTTTTTACAATTTAATAAACTTATTTTTACAATTTTTGAAAATTGCTACGCCATACTTGACCCACTTACTAGGTAATAACAAAGAAAACACAACGTGGAAAAGTCGTATGATACTTTTTAACGAAGGCTATTTATAAATACAGAAAAAAAAATTGTATCAAAACAATCAGTGGGAGAAAAAGAATTTTATAGTAAATTGTGTGTTGCTGCAGGTCTTTCTTTTGTCGTTGATGAAAGTCTTTCTTTTTACGGTGATAAAAACGAATCAAGAGTCGAAGACTTTAACTTGACAGCGAATGATAAGTTTTCTCGTAATATTGCAACAATACTTACAAGAGATAAAGAAGTGGTTGCTGTAAAGTTAATAGTACTTGCTGAAAAATGTATAATTTTGATTTCTAAGAATGGTAAATGGTATGGAGAGATAATATTATATGAGAAAGATTGTCTGAAAAATGTAGCTGAATATCCCTTTCAAGGGATTCATGAAATTTATTAATTTTAATAATATAAATGTAGATAATCAAAGTTTATTGTGTAAATGAGTACATATTTTCAATAAAGCATAAAAATTGGCTATGCAGCATGAAGCCCACTTAATACTAATTTTTTCGTTATTAACCTCAATCAATTTCTATCTATGAAGAAAAAAATCCGCTTCGTGCCACTCAGGAAGCAATAAGGTTGTATTTGCCGTAAAATTGCAACTCCTAATTTGTGCTTAATTGACGGTATAAATGCAAAATAACTTATTTTGACAAAAAGACAGAGTGACAGACTAATTATTTTTTAAAATAATAAAACAACACAAGAATATGAAGCCAATACCCAAAAGAAAAGTACTGTAGCAAATATTTGATTTAACATAATTTTCTATATCTCTTAACTTTGTTTCTATATTTACATTTATGTTAAGGTTGCTTGTCCAAACCCTATAATTAATTTTACTAAGATTTTAATATAGATTAGTCGGAAAATTAATTTATACTTTTTTGGATATGATCGGCAAAGTCGAATTTTGTTTTTCGTTCAGTCAGTCAAAAGCCGCATCCAAAACCTCCTTACATCCTTTAAGCAAACTTGTAGAGCAGCCAAAAATATTCTTATAAATGAATTTTAATGGCCATTTGTTAGGAAATAAACTTGCTGTGTTATAATAATTCATATAAATTACTGCGCCACCAACCCAGGACGTGCCTAAATTTTACTTTAAAGACCAATTAGAATCATAGGAAATAAATCGTACGATAATTTTTAAAATTCGACTTGACGTTCAATTTAGCATTCATTTTAACATTTTCATTTAAGCGTTTTAATAATTTTATAATGAATTCCCAATTAAACGCGTTAAAATGCATAGGATCACGTTTATTATACTATAAAAGCTTTTTAAACCGAAAGAGCGCGACTTCTTGTCTCACTTTATGTGTACCTTTCCGAAAATCCCAATCGTCTTTCGTTTCAAGTTATTCCGGTATAATTTCGAATATACCGCTAGTCAAAAATGACAAGGAAAGTTATAGTTATTTCCCTCGTTTGAAAAGGAAAATTTGTATATAATTAAACTTATTTGAAATTCTCACCTTATAGACTTTTGATAAAATTTTAATTGCAAATAGAGGCGAAATAGCTGTTCGTGTAATTAAAACAGCTAAAAAAATGGGAATAAAAACAGTTGCTATTTATTCTGATGCAGATGCTCGAAGTTCACATGTCATATTAGCAGACGAGGCAGTTCGTGTGGTTTGTGATCAATTTACTTATTAATTTTCAATAAAGGTTAGAAGTATTTTACTTAAGATATCGAATTATAGGGCCCGCCTCCTTCGGATCAAAGTTATCTTTCGATTCCTGCAATTTTAAATGCTATTAAAGAAACTGGAGCACAAGCTGTACACCCAGGTTAAAATTATACTTTTCTCTGATAGTTTTAAATCCTTCAATTTAATATATTTCTTGTACTTTAGGTTATGGGTTTTTATCAGAAAATTCACATTTTGTAAAAAGCCTGGATGAAGCTGGTGTCGTATTTATAGGACCTGGTGAGAAAGCAATGGCAGATTTAGGTGATAAGATTCGAAGTAAAATAATCGCCAAAAATTCCGGTGTTAACACCATTCCTGGCTTCGACGGAGTTGTTAAGAATACGGATCATGCTTTGGAAATTTGTAGGGTTATATTTAAAAAATAGCAGAATAGTTTGCATATTAATATTAATTTAATGAATTAAATGTTTCTTAGCTCGTTCGATTGGCTACCCTGTTATGCTCAAAGCTTCTGCGGGTGGAGGTGGTAAGGGCATGAGAATTGCTTGGTGAGTGTATGATAATCTTGTTTGAGAATTTTTTTTTTTTTATAAAAATAATCTCGTATTATTGTTTAGGAACGATCAAAAAGTCATTGAGGGGTTCAAACTTGCGTCACAAGAATCCAAATCAAGCTTCGGCGATGATCGGTTATTAATTGAGAAATATATTGACAATCCGCGTCATATTGAAATACAAATATTAGCCGATAACTTTGGAAATGCCGTATATCTTCCAGAACGTGAATGCTCTATTCAAAGAAGAAATCAAAAAGTAATAATCATTGTCTGTTTTTGAAAGTTGTACAGATTTAAATAATGTTTGATCTAATTAAAATTAGGTAATCGAAGAGGCACCAAGCGTACATTTAGACACATCTACTCGTAAAGCTATGGGAGAGCAAGCCATTTCTCTTGTTAAGCATGTTGGATATGTTTCAGCTGGAACTGTTGAATTTTTAGTAGACTCTAAACGTAACTTTTATTTTCTTGAAATGAATACGCGTTTACAAGTGGAACATCCTATCACTGAGTACATTACGGGCCTCGACCTGGTTGAACAAATGATTCGTGTTGCAGCAAATCAAAAATTATTCATGAAACAAGAAGATATTAAATATAAAGGATGGGCTATTGAATCGCGTGTATATGCCGAAGATCCTGAAAAATACCTGCCATCTATTGGACGTCTTAGTAAATATATCGAGCCTGTTAGCTTGACAGATAAACATGAAGTCCGTTGCGATTCTGGTATAGTTGAGGGAAGTGAAATTAGCATCTATTATGATCCTTTGATTTGCAAACTTTCTACTTATGGTGAAACAAGAGATGAAGCTATTCAAACTATGGGAAGAGCTTTGGATTCATATGTTATAAAAGGTATAATTTCTGCATAACTTTTATTTAATTCCTGTGCTTTAATTAGTAATTTTTTTTTTTTTTAAGGAGTTACGCACAATATTCCATTATTACGTGAAGTTATTGGAAGTTCAAGATTTAAGTCTGGAAACATTTCTACCAAATTTCTTGCAGAAGAATATCCAGAAGGTTTCAAGGGTCATATACTTAAAAACGATTCCTTATTTGAACTTGCCTCAATCGCTGCATTAGTTCATGCTAAAAGGGATGTACGTAATTGGTGTTGGAAAGATGGTAATGAAAGTTTTTCGAATAGAAATGTACCGAACAATTGGAATCTTTGGGTTAAGATACACAACAATAATAGTAAAATTGAAACCGTTAATGTGCATGTTGAAAGGAGAAGTACTACTTTGCAACACAAAGATGAATATCAGGTAATATTAATTTGTAATCACTAGTAAAGATGAATTTCATTCATTAACTATTAACTATCTTTATATAAAGGTCATAGTAGAAAGCCATCCACCAACCATAGTTAATGCTCAATGGCCATTAGAGTCACCTTTAATAAATGCTCAATTACTTGTTCCAAACCAGTCGAAAAGATCTGTTACTGTACAATATTTGGATCCTTTACCAGTTGGTTTCCGTCTTCAATATATGGGAACGAAATTTGATATCACTGTTCACAATAAAAGACAGCACGAATTAAGTCAATTTATGATTGAAAAACCAAAGAAAGATTTATCGAAAGTTATCATAAGTCCTATGCCAGGCTCTGTTATAAGCGTAGCGGTTAACGTTGGAGACATTGTAAGTTTCAATAAATTAATACGTATAAATTTATATTATAGTATTCATTAAAAATTTCTTTATTGGACAGGTGAATGAAGGAGTTGAAGTTGCTGTCGTTGAAGCCATGAAAATGCAAAACATATTACGTGCCTCCCGTGTAGGTAAGGTTAAAAAGATAAATGTTAAACCAGGTAGTTCAGTCGCTGCTGAAGAAGTTTTAATAGAATTTGAAGATGAAGAACAAAAGTAATCAATAGTAATAGTAAATTTGTAACTTAAATAACTTAAATGTATACAATTTAAATTTTGGCTATATAATTATTATATTTATTCTACAAAACTATTATAAACCAATTCTTTCTTGCGTTGTCCTATAAAAAATATTTAAAAAATGTTAATTAAATTAAATTTTAAGGCTAGAAATTAATAATCTTACATGTTATTTTTCAAATTACGAAGTTCTTCTGTACCAACGATTGGAATGGGTTGCTCCTGTGGTTGTTGAAGTGACTGCTGTTGTTGCTGTGATTGTCGTTGAATAGTATCTTCTAGTTCAATACTTTTTCTTTTGCCCTTTCCACTTATACCCGGTTTTTGAGAAAGCTTTTTTTGATAGACTTCTCGAAGCTTAGGAAGTTGTTCGACGTCGTCTTGACGAATTTCTAAACGTGTGGGATTACGACGAAGCATATTTGCAATATATTATTTTTATTACAAATAAAAATTAAAATATCGCGCGTCACAGGGTTAAGCCAACTTGAGGTTATACACGATCGAACACGTTGAACAAGATACCCAATTTCCAAATAAAGTTATAAACAATAACGTATTAGTAATAAATTTTATTTAATAATATACTAATACTATATTATTTCTTTATTTCTTTGAACTTTTGGGTTTTATAATGAAAATACAAATTGTATCGAGTGTGATTAGTGTGATATTAATAAGCCTGTGCCTCCTGACATTTGTGGTTGAGGGCTGGGATAATAAAGTTCTTTTGGAAAAAGTTCGAGCTCTTACTCTGTACAGAGGAAAATATACAACTGGGAGAAGACATAAACCCATTAAACAAATAGAATGTATCGGAGGGAACGCAGGCTGTCGTTATGAACCTGGTGTTGTATTCTTGTGTTTTATATTTCAGTTTGTAGTTATTCAATAATTATGTTTATTATCTTATTTATCTTATTTTCACTTTATTTTTAGATGTTATTCAGTGTAGAAACATTGGATTGGATGGAATAAGTTAGTATAAATATTTAATTATTTTATAAAAGGATTTGTTCGTAATTTTAACCTCTAATAAAATATTTATTAAAGATCCCAATTGGAAATGTGAAGCAGATTTGCCTAAATCATTAAAATTTGGACGTGTATGTATTTGTTTGAATTATTGTGTTAACTGTTCTTTGTAAAATTTAATGTTTTTTCTCTTTTTCAATTTAGTTAAAGGTTACTTGTGAAGGTTTCATCTAATTCATTAATTATTAAATGCGCAATTTTTTATATATTTCAAATAACAATATTTCTTGTATTTACAGGTTATGAACATCCAAATGATCAATACGTCCTAAAAGGTAAACCCAATCGAAATAAAAAATAGTAAATTCTCTCAGTTCAGTTTATATACAATTTATTTTGTGTAGGATCATGTGGTCTTAAGTATACTTTATATCTCACCAATGATTATACTAATGATCGAAAGAAAAAACAATGGTTTAATAATTGGTTCGATAATGTGAATGTAGACGATGATGAAGACAGTAAGTATGCTATAATATATATTTGTTCATATAAATATTTTTTGATATTGACAATCATTTGTTTATTTAAAGAATCGTTATTTAGTACATTATTTGGAATTGCATGGCTTGGTATGATTGGATACATTTTATATAATATGTACTTATCATGTATGAGGACACGAAGAGGAAATAATAGAAATAATAGGTAAGTTAATAAGCTACAATGTAAATTATATTTTATTTATTTTATTTAGAAACAACTTTCCAAATAATTTTTTTTTTTACGTAGGCCTACTAATGTTCATTCTCAAGAATTTAGAACTTCGGACGATGGAGTTGGAGAATCACCTCGCCTTAATCGCGGTAATGTTTTAATAAATTTAAATCAATTTTAATTTTAAAACATCATTCATTAAATTATTTTCTCCAATTTATTATAGATTCGTCATCATCATCAACTAGGCGTGCATATCGAAGGGAAAATATTCCATATCCAGGATTTTGGACAGGAATTTTAGGTGGTGGTTTAACTGGTTACCTATTTGGTAGAAGAAACAACAACAATAATAACTATTTTCATAGAAGAACACGAAAAAAGCGATCTTCACCTAGTTATAGCACAAGTTCAATTAATAATAATTCTTACGACTATTATGATTGGAACAATGATTATAGTGATTATTCTTCTACTACTACTACTACAGCAAGTGATGATACGTACACCGCGTACGGCTTTGCAGAAACTGATAATAGATAATTTCGAAGTGATAATATCAATGTATATATATAATTTAAATTTATTGATTAAACGTTCTTACAGGTATATTGATTATCATACTTTTAAAAAGACGACAAAAAAAAGCAATAGTGGGAAATTGAAATAGAAATTTATAATTAAAAAAAGTCGATTAAATTTGTAAAATTTTTCTTTAATCCTATCCTCTAAATAGCCCATATTAAAAAAAAAAAGTTGAAAATAAAAAGTCCTCTAATGTACAATAATAAGTGTTTTGGACAATTGAATGAGAATTAAAGAAATTAGTGTTTGATTTAAAGAAAAAATAATGAGTTTTCGTAATTTATAATATCATACAAGTGAATACTGCTACTAACGTAAACAAAAAATTAAGGCGGTGACCCATTGCACCTTTATATATATATATATATATTTTTTTAAATTAAGATAAAGAAATAATATCAGAATATAGCTGAAAGAGGAAGAACATTATTTATAATAAAAACGATTTTCATAAAAAAAAAGGAAGAAAGTTTTTTATTTAATCCTCAAACCAACCATTTCTCTTGTTCCTTAGTGTAGTGTTCTATTAAATAGTATTAAATTGTTTTAATTCCATTAGACGCTGCTAATTTTTCCATTTTTTTACTCTCTGACTTAGCCTTCTTTTCTCTTTTCTTCTCTTCTTTCTCTGCTTTCTTATCTTTTTTACTCGTTTGTGTGTTATTAGTACCCTCTTCGAATAACGATTCCAGGTTTGACGAAGTCTTTTTTTCGTCTTTATCATCTTTCTTATCCTTATCTTTGTCTTTTTCTTTGTTTGATTTATTATTAGATTTTGTAAACCATGATGTTTTTTCTTTTTCTTGTGACGACGATTTTTCATGTGTATTATTGTCATCATTGTCCTTTGAATCTTGATCACCATGTGATTTACGTCTATCTGGATTATTATCTTTTTTTCTCGGTAGTATAGTCGTCAGACGTTCAGAAAATGATGGTTCCCTTACAGGAGTTTGACGCTCTTTTTTAGGCTCTTCATTGTTTATTGAAGATGCAACATTATTATTATTATCAGCACCATTAATTGTAGTTGACGTGGATTGTGCATCAATAGAATGTGATTCAGCAGCACCCTCTGCTGATACTTCTGATGATGCACTAGAGGCTACATTGTTTGCCCAAACAGAATACGGTAGACCAAGAGAACTTAAATCTAAATCACAGGCTTGATAAAATAACACATAACCTGATCCAGTTGCCGGTATATCTCCAAAATATTTGTGAATTTCACTTTCATCTACAGGCTAATAAAGAAAAAAATAGTTTAATAATAATTATAAGACTATTTAACCATAAAGTTCATATTACCGTACCTCTACAGTATCGTCATCAAATAAAAGCCATTGTCCCATGCTCTTTACCAATGTAACATAATGGCCATGATATGGGCCACTTTAAAGAAATTTTGTTAATACATTTGAAAAAATGAATATGCATATTACATAAGCATAAATCTTACCTTCCAATGTGGACACAAATTGCATAAAGTTCATAAAGGCGATCAGGATCTTTAATATTATCACACTATATCAAAATCAAATATATATATATGTATTAATATTATATTGTGATAGAGATAATCGTTAAAATATCTCAAATGCAACATTACCGTGTTGAATAGTCGTAATTCAAAAGGAAACACTACTCTATATGATAATTTAATATATTTCTGTAACCTTTCTTGATATTTAAAGCGTTTTAAATGTAACGCTAATACATTGGGCAATTTTTTAATTTTCATCCTATCAAAAGAATTTGATAAGTTCATTATATTTAATTAGAGAAAAATATAACATAATGTAATGTGCATACCTCTTTTCGGCCTCTTGTAATCCACAACACACGTCACAAAAAAATTTATCCTGGTGAACTAACATTTCGCTTGCAGAAAATTGTCTCAAACAAGACGTAACAGAAGAATTTTGTTCAATATCAATGGAAAGATCAAGGAAAGGGTCATCTCTGCTTGTGATCTGAACATTACAATATCAATAAAAATTCAAAAACATTAAAAAAAATTTGTAAATTTCTATTTAACTCACCGTTTCACAAGTCAGACATTTCGTTTCATTTGTTAAAGTGCCCTCAAATAGTTTATGTACCCAAGTTGTCTTTAAAGAGGATGTGTTTGAATTAATTTCTGATCCTTTGAAAGAACTTTCATCGGCTTTGAAATGGAAAATTATATACTTGAGAATTTTATAATTTAAATTATTATGAAATACTTTCTATAATAATTACCTGAAACGCCACTTTCCTCACTTTCGTTTATGCTTGTACCGTTTACTGACGATTTTGACTTTTCACTGATGTCACAGCGTTGCTCTTGTTCTCTTTGTCTTTCTAATTCTTCCATTTTCTTTTGTTGTTCTATTACATTCTCGGCTATAGCATTAAGAGTGTAATTTAAAAATTCATGTGCATCTTGGTGCATCGTTGTACGAAAAAGTTCTATCCAAAAATAATAATAAAACTAAAAATTAATAAATAATATAATGTTAATAAAACAATGACATACACTACAAAGAGAATAAAAATTTACCATTTTCTTTTTTTAATTTTGCTATGAATCCATTCGGCGCCATAACACCAGTTCTTTTTTTCTGACTACTTATCTTCCAAAATAATTCTTTCAATGCACTAAATAAAGTATCTTCATTAAGTCCATTGGATGATGATATATCACTATTCGCTGAAAAAAAGATATGAATTGTTTAGTGAAATAAAGTTTAGATTAAACATACCAAGTAAAAATAACTTACCTTTATTTTCAGATGTGGCATTTACATCTATTTTAGAGACAGTATCATTCGTAAGTGATGATGTTAATATTTGTGAATTAATATGCGACATGGAAGGAGCTAACAAACCATTTTGTCCATTCGGGAAGTTGATAACGCATTCTCGAAACGGTTTACAAAAATAAAGAGCTTGTAAAATAGAATTGCAATAGCTAATGTTATATAAATAAATGAATGATTGATTGAATGAATAAAATTAAAAAAGTTAATGAAATTGTATAATTTTAGAACAAAATCTTACCAGGTATTTCCGAACTGTAAACGTTGATGTTCACGAACAAAAGAAAAAAGTGTTAATGCTGTTTTGATAAAAGTTTTTCGTAGTTCTTTAGTTTATAAACTTTCTGTTCAGAGTCGTTAATTTAAAAAACGTTCTTACATTTTCCAAGCCGAAATATTTTTCAGACCCACTACTCCAGGGCTCGTTGGCAGTAGTTTTTTTCGAATCACCCTAATAGAAAATCACGTTAGAGAAATAAAGTTATATTTTTTCCTGCGTAAATTCAAATCTATTTTCTGCAAGATAGCAAAATAAACTAGGTATAAAAAACCAGCTTACCATGCCAATCCATTTTAAAAGTGACATTTTTTTGTTAGTTTGTATTTATCGAATAGTTATTGACCTTTTTCGCTTTTGCACAATAACCTATATTTAACTGGAATAAATTGAAATTTGATTGGCCACAATTATAATAAATTGATCATCATTTTGGCCCCAAAAAAACGGAGCCACTTTATTTTTAATCTTTAAAACCTTTGCAAAATGTACTACTTTTGACATACAAACAGATATCCACGTTTCTTACCACATTTCTAGAATAGTTTTAGCATATTTAAAAAAAAAACTGTTTTTTTTTAAAAAAAAAAATAGATCCTTTTTTTGAAAAATTAGATTTAGGTCAAAATTTTCTTTTTAATAATTGAGCACTCCGCTGTTATTATTTTATTATTTGGTAAAACAAAATGCGGACTTGTTATTATGAACTTCTTGAAGTAGATCGAATAGCATCTGGAGAAGAGATAAAAAAGGCATACCGTAAGAAAGCTTTAGAATGGCATCCTGATAAAAATTACTATAGGGTTGACGAGGCTACAAAAAAATTTGCTCTTATTCAAGAAGCTTACGATGTTTTATCTGACCCTCACGAACGTGAATGGTAAATTTTCGGTCTATATAATTGGATTAAACAGGTTTATTCAAATTAATTTAAATTCGTAGGTATGATGGTCATCGAGACGCCATTCTAAGAGAAGGTAAGAAGTGTCAATTATTTTAAAAATAAATGACAAATACTAAATCGAAAAAGAAAATTATAGATGATGATATTTATGAACTCGATGATGATTGTGATGAAAGCAGTTCAAGATGGGGATTTAGAACTAGTGTTCAAGGTACTAGAACTGAAGATCTAATGAGATTCTTTACTAAAGCGTGTTATCAAGGATTTGATGACAGTAAAACGGTATGTTAAAAGAATTACCATTTAATTAATTCTAAACTACTATTGATTTATAAATCTGATTGTAGGGATTTTATACGGTGTATAGAAAGTTATTTGAAAAATTAGCGGAGGAAGAAGATGATGCTTATTCTCATGATCGTGGTGAAGATGCTGGCGATTTTCACCCATATCCATCATTTGGTGATAGCACTACACCAATTGACTTAAATGACTCGAAAGATGGGAATCCGATTAAAAATTTTTATACTTCATGGTTAAATTTCTCCACCCAGAAAAGTTTTAAATGGTTTGATAAATATAAATTATCGGAGGTAAAGTGTAATTAATTAAGTAGGTTAATGCTCCTTTGAAGAAAAGTAAGAAATTAAATGAAAATATTATTGAAGTTAGGCACCTGATCGAATTTTAAAGCGAAGAATGAAAAGTGAAAATAAAAAATCGCGAGATGCTGCTCGTAAAGAATACAACGACACCGTGAGGGTAAGCTTTGTATAATTCATTAGATATTTAAATTATTTTAAAGAACATCCTAAATAAATAAATTATTTTTTAGGAATTGGTTGAATACGTGAAGAAGAGAGATCCACGTTACAAAGAGATTACAGCACTCGCGGAATTAAAAAGAGAGGCAAAGGTTGCAGAAGCTAAATCAAAAGCCGCGCGTGAACGCGCAGAACGTATTGCTAAATTACGGGAATATCAAGAGCAAGACTGGACAAAAATAGATGAAGGGGATGAGGAGGAGGAGGAAGATTTTGAAGATGAACCACCAGATGATGAATATTTTTGCGTGGCATGTAATAAAAGTTTCAAAAATGAAAATGCGTGGAAAAATCACGAAAAAAGTAAAAAGCATATTAAAAGCGTCGAATTATTAAGGGAAGAGATGTTCGAAGAAGATGAAGAACTAATAAGTAATGTAGATACATCAAAATCTAATGATGATATTTTTACGTTACAAAATGGTCATCAAGATATAAAATTGGACACACAGGACATTAAATATGACGAAGAGGTAGAGAATGATTTATTCTCTCATGAGAAAGAATCTAAAAAGAACAAGAAACAAAAGAAGAAACAGAAGACTCCTAATTGGGGTCATGCTGATGAAGAGTTAAAAATAAATATTACGAAAGAAATTTTTCACAAAAACAGCATATCAGAAGAGACACTAAACGAAGAAGATAATGATTTGTCTGAAATATTAGAAAGAACAAAGATAACTTCCCGTGGAGGCTTCGAGTCAGATGAAGAATCGGGAGCAACGCCATACTTCTTGAAAGATGATGATAAAGATAAATTAAATCAAACCGAAAGCAGTAATTCTAAAAAGGATAAGAAGAAAAAAGAAACATCTAACCAGGTGATTCATTTTTCTTTTTGTATTCTCATGATATATTTTTTATATTATATTTCTAAAATTTTCCTTCTATAGAATAAATGTAACGTATGTTCACAGACATTTCCCACCAGAAATAAGTTGTTTGACCATATCAAGTTGACTAATCACGCCCTAGCGGAATCACTTAGTTCAGGTAAAAAGAAAAAGAAAAAAGTAATGTAACCCAAAATTTTTTCAATTAACAACTCAACTAATAAACATTTAAAAAGAGCGTCACATAAATTATTTATGAAATTCTCGAACCTTAATTTTCAATTAGAATGCTCGTTCATAGATAAATATAAATTTATGAAGAAACCATTTTCCGTTTTTTTTAAGATTAGTGAAACATGAGACGGGCGTATAATAATAAATAAACTGGATTTACCCGAAAACGGAAAAAATTTCGAATTTTCTTACAATATATTAATAATTAATGCATAACTATTTTTTAAAATTTCATGAACTAAATTTTTTGTTTATTTTATTTAACATACAAAGTAAATCTATATATATATATATAATTGTCATTAAAATGACGATAGTTAAGAGAGAGAGAAAATAGCAAATTGATCGAAAAACTATTATTTATCATTCGTGAAACGAAGGATAAAATTAGTTACCACGGCACCTATTAGTTTTGAAGAATTATAATTTGAAGAATTTGTTATTTATATATTAATTTTTTAAATAAATAAAATGAGAAAATATAAAACGATATTTACCCACGAGGAAAAAGCAGAGCACAGTCGGCCCGTACCTATCATCATAAGGACCTGATTCTCTCTTTCTTATCTTGGTCGCTCTCCAATGATATATTAACAGAGCGTAGAGCATAATGGCCATAGCTATTTGATCAACAAAAGATTTTCTTAAATTAAATTGGATTTTAAAAAATCCAAAAATTTCATGTAACATACCAACAAACGTAAATATAGCGGCAGAAATCTTCCCAACTTTGTCTCCAAAGTTAAGAAGTCCAAGCGCAAGGCCGCCTAATACGACTGTAAATTGCAGCCAGGAAAGGAAGGTTCTTTCATTTGCGAAAAATACCTATTGACACGTAAATAACAATGAGAATTGAATAAATTTTAATATTAAAATTTTTATAATTAAGATATATACTTTAGGTTCAACCCTAGTAGGAAGAGCTATACGTTTTTGAGCTTGAAGAAGTGGTTGAGTAGACATTATAAAAAAATTTAATATAAACTTCGATTATCAAAAAAATGTTGTTAAATCGTATTCCCTTTTTCCACTTTTTATAATGATTTTATTGTTTGCATTTTTGTACACTGTTTAGTACGCAATTCAGCCTTCCCTTTCAGCCTATTTAACCGATTATGTCTGTATTATTAATTTTTTTCTCTAATTGGGCAAGATTTAAAGGGCAAGACAATAATTAGTCACGTGTTTCTCTCTACTATTTTCCGAACTTATGCAAGGGTGAGCAAGCCGTTCTGACAAAAGTCAGTTATTTTATTATCTGCGATATTTTTATCTAAATATTGACAGATAATATACCCGACAGAGTAATTGATTTAAGCCATAGATTATTTATTTGCTGTATATAATTATTTGAATTTTCTATTGCAACTGACACATTTCGAAAGAATAAAGGTTGCATTATTAAAATATCTGTGGACTTTTGTTTGAATCGGCTTGCTTGTGATTAAATAATCTAAACAACTGCAGTAACATGTGAACGTGTGCAAAAATATAAATTGTCGATCGGATATAAATTAAGTTCGCAAATCGCAAGCGTAAACTATCTCCTTTGACCAATATGTCCAACCAAACATGGCGAAATACAATAAATAACAACCCAATACAACAAAGTATTCGCCAATTTCTTGCCAAATTTCCACTGAAGACTCATCGATCTCCTTATGGCGTACGAGAACTTGATGATCCAAGGTTGTATATATGGGGACCTGGTTGGAAATCAGGTCAAGAAACTTCTTTTGACCAGGAATGTGTAAAGTGGCAGGTATTCGTCGTTAAATCAAAACCTAATTAATCGCTTAAAAATATGATGTGAAGCGATTAATTAATTTTCATTTTAAGACTTTTTTGAAATTTAGCAAAAGTGATTTCGAAACCAAACGTTCAAACGAACCATTAATGTCACCTTCAGGTACGTCCAATTTTTTTTTTCTAATTGTTAATTGATATTTGACATTTTTCTAATTTTATAAATATGTAAAATATTCAGGAAAACTTCCGTTCCTAATTTTAACAACTGGCGATGTTCTTGTGGATGATTCTATAGAAAAACATGTCACTGATATGGTCGGTGATCATCAATATTAATTAACCGATTATGATTGATGTATTATTTAATAATTTCAGAAAAAATGTATATATGTGTAATGTATATAGTATTCTGATAATCTTGGAAGAATTAATGAACAACAAGAAGCAGATTCACAATCATTTATCGCATTGGCCGATACAAAGTTGCGAAATGCTTTGGTAAATCAATCAATCTATTAAGGGAAAAAAAAAATTAAATTAATTATATTAATTAATTTATACTTTGATATAATTTAGCTTTACAATCTTTGGTGTGAACCTGCAAATGAATCCATAACATATAAAAAATATGTTGGACATTATGCTAAGCCGTTAGATAAATTACTTTTTCAAAAGTATAAAAAATTAGCTGTCAAGGAATTATTAACAAGAAAGCCGGTATTAAACAAGGAAGAAGTTAATATTATTGATTTATTTTGTATATATGTGACATGGCCGATTTTACTATTAATATATTAATATTAAATCTATTAATAGATTTATCAAGAAGCAGATGAAGCTTTAATAGCAATTTCTAATGCTTTAGGAGATTCCAAATATTTTTTTGGATCAAGGTATTTTCGAGGAGCAAGAAAATTTTATTTAAATCAGATTCTAATTAGTTTTTGGTTTTGTTTAGTTTGCCTACTTTTGTCGATGCAGTTGTTTTTTCATATATTCACGTTATCTTGAATATTCCACTTAATGAGGTACAAGTCCAATCCAATCTTATTAAATATTCGGAAAAAATATATAATGAATATATTTTATCGGGCTTTTGAAATCAAATCTTCAAATAAATTATCTTTTATTTTAAAAAATTTAAAAATTATTGGCAAATAAATAATATCATGACCATCCATTGACGTAATTTTCGGGATTTTTAGCCATTATGGTGATTGCACAAGCATTTGCTATCCACCATGCGTCAGATCCACTTCTTATTTACTGCGGATGCATTTTTAGATTCGTAATCAGGCCACTTTTTGTATATCAAAAAATCTTCATTTGCAAAAATGAACAGTTTAAACAAAGAAAGTTACATTGTGTCAAAAGCCACATTTTTTGAAAAAATATAAAAAGGAAATAATATCCTTTCATTATCAATTAAAAATTTTCATTAGAAAAATCACCTCCAAATTCACCATTAACTCTTTTATCTCCAACCGTCAACTTCGGCTTTCTCAATGTCAGTTCGTTTGCCTTTAACAACTCATCGTAGAACTAGCATATCAGCGGTTTCACAGGCAGTTTATTTAGGTTTAGAAATAGAGTTTGGCGATAATGACAAAGTTGAATACGCTATTTGTACTCACGATGGTTGTTATGCCATTGATTTTGAAATATCCACTGTCGACATATCCAATATCCCTAAAATTGAGGATCGCGTTGAGAAGGTTATACAGGTGGTCCTCGAAAATATTTCGTTATATTCCAGAGCGCAAAATTACAAAATACACGCAATTGGTCTTGGTGCGCATTTAAAAAATGGACAAGATATGAAAAGTCTTTTATTTACTTCGCCAAGTCTTTCTTCTAGACTTTGGTTAGAGCTCGATGCTTTGCCTTTTGTTATTAAAACAAAGGGTAAAACTGTCGATGAACGAGCTAGCTCAGCTGTGAGGAAAACTGTTGTATGGTATATAAACATAATTTGTTAAAGATTACATTAAGATATATGCTCATTTCTTTTAATTTTTATTTTCCAAGGATTAGTCCACAAATTCCTGGATCGATCCCAAGAATAGATGTTGGATTCAGACATGAAGTTGAAGTTGATCTAAATGGAATGATTAAGTTGGTTGATTTAACGCATTACGAAAAAACTGTTCATCCGGCAACTTGGAAAGTGATCAGTAGTATTGGTAATGAAATTAAAAATAGAAATATAAGGGCATCATTCTTCAATGCAACACCTCAGGGAGGTGGAGGTAAATATCTAAATATTGACCATATAAAAATGATAACCTACATAGACACGAAATAAACCAAATCTTGTAAAATTTAGTTGCTCTTATGCGTCATGCGCTTATTCGTTTATGTAAACTTATGGAGATTGATATCCATTGGTTTGTTGCTAAACCAAAACCTGAAGTGTTTGATATAACAAAAAGAAAGTTTCATAATGTATTACAGGTAAATTCTTAGAAATTTTTAATAAAAGTAAGATTCAATTAACTGAAATGATAAAATGGTTGCTTATTTTTTGATAGGGTGTAGCACCTCCAGATGTTTGCTTAACCGAAAATGATAAACGAGTATTTATTAATTGGTCCAATGATAATGTCGAACGTTTCTGGAAAGATGATGAGGGTCCAATTAAGAATAGTGATGTGATAATAATTGATGATCCACAAGGTAGATACAATACTATAGGAGTTTCTCAGTTTATTTGGTATAACTTTAACATTTTGTTATCACATTTAGTTTGTGGTATTATTCCTCAAATCAAAAAACTCAATCCAACATGCAAGATTATATACAGAAGTCATATTGAAAGTAAGTTTATACTTAAAAATTACCTATTTCAAACAAATTATTTAATAAAAATATTCGTATATATTTTTAGTATGTGCCGATTTGATCCGGCAGAATCCGACCGGACCACAAGCTGTAACATGGAATTTCCTTTGGAGCTTTATTTCCCAAGCAGATCTGTTTGTATCTCATCCTATGCATAATTTCGTTCCAGATAATGTTCCTATGGAAAAAGTGGTTCTTCTTCCTGCTTGTACAGATCCATTAGATGGTTTAAACAAAGAATTGAGCCTGTCCGATTTATCTTATTATAAATTGGTTTATAATAGATTATCAATAGATCAATGTGGTGTTGAAATTGATTTTCATCGACCATATATTGTTCAAGTGGCTAGATTTGATCCTAGCAAAGGTAAACTATTTAATTTATTATTTACTAGATATTATCAACAACGAAATATTTATTAATATTTCTTTTAAATCATAGGTATTGATTTGCTGATCCATTCCTTTAAGCTTCTCCACGATAAGCTTAAAGAAGCTGGTTGGGCTCAAGAAAAAATTCCTTCATTAATAATTTGTGGAGCTGGAAGTATTGATGATCCAGATGGAACTCCAATTTATGAAAAGACTCACGAGTTATTGGCACGGCCCGAGTATGCTGATATCGTAAACGTTGTTTCAGTTGTACGTCTTCCTCCTTGTGATCAAATATTCAACACTATTTTAAGATGTGCTCATGTAGCATTACAATTAAGCACGAGAGAGGGGTTTGAAATTAAAGTTACAGAAGCCTTAGCAAAGGGTGTTCCTGTTATAGCATTCAAAGCAGGTATGATGATTTTGTTTGTTTATTTATCATTTTTTTATTGATATAAACGTAAATTTTTTATAGGAGGAATACCGCTTCAGATTAAACATGGGGAAACGGGCTTCTTGGCAGATATTGGTGATACTGAACAAGTAGCAGATTATTTGTTTACTTTGTTTAATGACCAAGAACTTTATCAGAGAATGTCAAAGAAAGCAGTAGAGACTTTAAACGAACAGTACTTTACTGTATTCCAAACTCTTAATTGGTTATATTTAATTAACCGATTCGCTAAAGAAAGACGTAAAGAGATGGGTGAAGATATTGAAATCGATGAACAAGTACTTTGTGGAAACAAAAAATGGGTTAAAGAGCTTTGGGCAGAACAATATAATTATAAAGAGGTGATGAATCAACAAGCGAATGATCCAGAAATTGAAAAAAAGGTAATTAATTGAAATTACTTAAAAAGCAATTATATATTTATTTATTATAATGAAATTTTCCAAAAAAAAAATTTTTATATAATTAGACTCTCGATGAAATGATTTCTCACCCTATAAACAGCATTTATAATAATTCTTCCACTTAGAATATTAAAATATACTGTATTATTTATTTATTATATGTATAATAATTTCCTATATGATAATTATTTTACTAATATTAGCTCCACACTTGTAATCTATAATTAGTTGTTATTTTAAATACTAAAAACCTAATAGATACAGGACCCCTCAATAAATAAAATTGCTAATGTCTTGATTGCACAATGTAAAATATTTCATTCAATAAATTTCGTGAGCCCGATATGTGATCTCCATTTAAAAATGATTTGAAAAGTGTGTGATAATTTAAAATAAAGGCATGCAATTATTGATAACCATTATGATAGAAAACTATTATTCAAAATACTCAAAATACTGATAAATCATCTTCAAAAAGAAGGTAGATTTATATATATGGTTTTACAGGGAATGTACCTGTGAGATGATCTCACAGTTGTACATGTATAACGATAAGCTTTTTTTGCAATGGTTAGTAGAATTAGGTAGATTTAGATTCCAAATAGAACATGAACAATGAGGCGATAAAAATAATTAATAGAAATATTTTGTATGATTTATAATTTCTGTAGTAAGTGAAGAATCTCCATAATTAACAGAATTTACAATAAAACTTAGCCACCTTAAATCTTCACAATTACAGTAGTTGACATTTTTAATATTACAATTTATACGTGAAAAATATTTGCATATTTTTTTTTTGAGACGCGCATATTATAAGAATTAAATAAAAAAACAAATAAATTAATTGATAAAAAAATGTCTATTTATACGAATCAAAAATCAATACAAAATTACAAAATTGATTGGATAAAAGTATTATGATAAAAGAGTTTTTTCATTCAGAATCTCATCATAATTCGCCACAGAAATTTACATTTTCACAACGCAATTCGGTTACTTTGTTGCAAAACTCTTCATATTTTTTGATTCTAATATTTACCTTGTATTATGTTATAAAGCTAGTTTTTCTTGAGCAGGTCCCAAAAATGCCAAGAAATACTCTTGACACTGCCCCTGATCAAGTCGACATTGATAATGACGTTGATTCTGTTCCGCATGAGCGCGATACTCCAGAATCGATAGTTACTACTTCAAGCTCCGGAGGAAACGATGAGCATAACCTACAAGAAACTAAGACTTCTAAACGTGCAGTTGGAAAGAAACGCCGCAGGTCTCCAGCTTTGGAGCTTTTAGAAGAGAATGTTGCACAGGGTATCGCTGTATCTGAAACATCAGAACCTAATCCAAAGAAGAGGGTGTTGCCGCCCCGCAAGGTTGGGACACTTGCAAGTGTTCTTGCGGACGAAGTTGCAGCAGATCAAGGTATGCTTAATTATTATCATATTACAGTTATTGTCTTATTATTTAATATCCGATTAATACTTTAATTATTATTTAGCTGCTCTGTTAGCGCCTCTTATATCAGGCGAAACAACGATTTTGCTGACTTCTGATGAAAGCCTCTTAGAAACTTGTGATGTTATAGAGGACAATGAGGATGAGGAATTAATTAAGACCAATAATATTGATGATAAGGAAATTTCTGTACCATCATTTAGAGTTGTTAATGGAGATATAAGCGGGTTACGGAGTAAGGCTCAAGAAGTTCGTAAAATTTTTGTATTATAGCTTTCATAATCATTCTCATTTAAGCAACAATTTTTAAAGTCTTTAACCTATAGGAAGATATATCTGATGCGGCGTATGAAAAGCGTCATCGTAAGCATGAGCTAGCCGAAAAGAAACTTAGAAATCGTGAGCGCGAAAAGTTGGCATATGAGAGATACCAACAACAATTAGCCGTTGAAAAGTTGCGCAATACCGATTCAAAAAGTTTAATATCGGTTGCTGCTCTGCGAAATAAGGATGCAACAAATGACGCGAGTAAGCTGCAGATAGCACATCAAAAATTGCTCAAAGAGGCTGAAGATACGTTAGCCATATATGATTCATTTGGCTTAGGTGGAAAAAAGCGGAAAGTGGATGCGACTATCAATGAAGGAGAGGGCAAGGCCCCGGAAGAACCTGAGATGAAAAGAACACGACTTCGGGGGTCAAAAAGTACTTTGATTACAAATTCTGATGATGTCCCGCCCAAACCTAAGGAGGAAACATCGACACGAATTACCCGAAGTCGAAAGAAGAAAAACGATGAACTTGCTTCAAAAGCGTCTACGATAACAAAAAAACCTGCCAAAACACCACTAAAAGGAAAAAAAGCACAAAATTCCATGTTTCCTTCTACGACAGCAATGTCAGCCGTGGCGCCAATACTTTCAACTGCCGACCGTGTAACAAGTTTTGTTAGACCACGTACAGGAATGGCATCGGGCTCACGCAAGAGCACACGCTCTGCTTTTGCATTCGGTGAACGTGTTCCAACCAGACTGATGAGTAAAAAAGATTTCGTTTTGCCCGATGCTGTTTTTGGAGAACTGATTAACCAGCGTGAACAATTGCGAACACTTGAAATTCAAGATCAACGTCTTCAATCAGAAGAATATAAAATATCTTCTGAAAGCAGTCGTGTCAAATAAGCACATTAATATTTCTAATTTAGCGGTAACAACGAATAAGTAATTTGAATGGTTGGGAAACTTGTAAATTACTTATAGAAGCTAAAAGACATTTTCTTCTTTTTTATCTCTTTTGTATTCTTGTTTTGTGTAATTTAAAAAGAATGCCATCGGGTTATTTTCTTTATCTAACTAATATTTGTTTTCATTGTTTAATTTGAACAATATATTTCATTTAAAATAAAAATTGTTTAATAGTAAAAAGGTAATAAACTAGATTTTAGTAATTTCTAATAAAAATATACTTTGTAATGAGGCAGCGTAAGCTACGTCATCTGTTGATTCTTTATCTTCTTCGTTGTCGTCATTTTTATCATTTATATATTTGTTATGATTAAAATTGAACGAAGCAAGAGAGATTTGATTACATTTAAGTTTCCATTTATCCAAGAGATATTGAATAGATCTTTTGGAACTGTTAAATAAAAAAAAAAAAATATTCTGAAAAATTATTTTAGGAGTAAAATAATTTAAAATTTAATGATACCTTCTTTCTTGATATGATGTTATGAATTTTGCATTTGGAAAATGATAAGTTAATATATAAGCGATGGTTACAATGATATCTTCAAAATCTAGATATATATATAAGTGAAAATAGAGAAAATAATGAAGAAGTTAAACATTACATTTACATTTTACCTTTTGGATCATAAAAAGTATCACTTCCCAGAATCCAATCAATTTTTCTATTAGATTTTTCAATATCATTTAGTAATTGAAATAAACCACCGCCACTTTCGAGTTGATGATCGTTATCACTAAAATCACCCCACATTAAACCTTTTATCCAAATGTTATTTCTAGATAGTAAATTATTTAATTTTGCAATTTCTCGAATATTTTCAAGTATTTGAGGTACATCTGATCTATCTGTTAGAATCACATGTGTATTATCGGAGAGTAATGCACACAAAAGTCCTGGTAATGAAGTGCCTGAACCTAGCTATTATAATTGTGATATAATAAATGTCCGTCGTAAATAAACAAATAAACCTAAAATTGAAATTCTGTTAACCTTACTTCTAAGATTGTTTTGTCCTTAAATAAATCTCTCTCATGCCAAATATATTCGGCTAATACAAATGCTGCTGGCCATACGTAACATCCATATGTTGGGTCAAGTAATTCTTTTATTATAACAGATTTTCCCTCTGAATTTTCATCATCCCAAAAATAAAATTTTTTCATTTTTGAATTGCTACGCCACATTTAAAATTGATATATATATTATATTAAGTAATGCCATGCAGATGACATTGTTAACATACTAGACTATATAGAAATTTTATTTTTTTAAAAAGAATTTATTACATTTCGAATTAGACTAATATTTAAAGATTTAATTGTAGATAGCTTCCTGGAGTTCAATTAAAATTACATAACTCCTTATATTTTGAATGGGTATTGATCGTCTGGAACAAGAAATAGCTAATGAGTCTTCTGAACCTGTACGTGTTTTAAATAGTGAGGTGAACGGGAATGGGATTCTTGAAATGTCTGAAACCGAACCAACACAAACACAATATTCTACAGTTACTGACGAGGATGAATCACAATCGGAAACGCGAAGCAATAATGCTAGTGAAGTAACAGAGAATAATGTAACCGTTTTGAGACACCGAGGTGGATCAAATTTGCAAATTTCAACTAAATCGTCAAAGTCAACAGGCTTTACAGTCGGTTTATCTTCGGGATCAACGATTTCGTCCTCTGCAGGCGAAGGGAGTAGTCGCACTGTTAGAAGAGGTTCACAGAGCAAAAATAATGAGGTTCATACAAATAGTGGTAGCTCTGAATATGAATGTAATATTTGGTAAGAGAAAGATAATGAACTTATCTGATATTTGAATTATTTACTCAATTTCTTCGAATTCAGTTTTGACACAGCATCTTCACCTGTTCTAACTTTATGTGGGCATTTATTTTGGTTAGTATTTTAACAAATTATATTATTAAATATCATATTTTTATTAAGTAAATATTTTTCTTTTAAATAATATCAGTTGGCCATGTCTGCATCAAGTTAGTAATTTTAATTTCTAAAAATATTTATTGCTCAATAATAATTATTTTAATGAACAATTGACTCAATTTTATGATGGTAGTGGTTAGAGGCACAATCTCAAAATCCACTATGTCCTGTATGCAAAGCGGGATGCGGACAAGATAAGGTTATACCAATTTACGGAAGAGGAAAAGAGGCTAAAGATCCTAGGTACAGAAAAATATGTTGTATCAAGTTTGAGTAGGCAATTATTTAATTTAAACCTGTAATATTGTAGGAAAAATTCAGATATTCCAAATCGTCCCGCTGGTCAAAGGCCTCAACCACAAAGAGATCCAAATCAACCGAGTGCACAGTTTTTTCCTGGTTCATCATTTCATTCGAATGCATTTGGACCACATTTTTCAATTTCAGCTAGTACAATATTTCCATCATTTTTTGGGGCACAATTCGTAAGTCTCTGTAAACGTTTTATCTTCTTTAAGTAATGTACAATAATAATTTTTTTATCTTAGACTTTTCCTCCTCCGAATGGACCCCCTTCACCACAACAAGCCTTTATCTCAAGGCTTCTTTTGATGTTTGGCTGTCTTATTCTTATTATGATTTTGCTTTATTAGATCAGTTGTTAAAATATTTATATCCATTTATTACAAATAAACAAACAAATTTCAATCATCTCGTAAAACTGGTAACCAAATGATCACCAGGCCATCAAAAGCTTTTGTACTCTTTCCAAAAAATTATCACTTGTAGTTTGCTTAGATGAAGTTATTTTACACACTTGTTCATTAATTTTTGATGAATCCTCTTGCATCTTGTAATCTTCTATGATGTGTTGTTCTTCATCATCACGATGCGTGTTGTTTGATACATTCAACCATGGCATACGTTTCGCTAGTGACTTAATAAGTTTTTCCAATTTAGTTTCCTTAGTATCCTTACGCCAATATTCTTTAAAATTCACGCGATCATTTGATGCACGATATTGTTCCACGAGATCGAGCTAAGAATATGAAAATTAAATAAGTATCAAATAAATATTAAAATAAATGAATAATACAACTGTATATCTAACTGACAATTTCATCAGCAACTTCATCCGAGATTGCTGAATTGTTGACTAATTCAAAAGCCAACTGCTTTGCTTGTCCTATTTCATCTGCTGACTTATTTAAGTTGCTAACGTAAAACCAATTGATAACCGACAAGGAACCAGGTAATTTTGGGTCATAAGGGCCTTAAATATTATCCAAATAAATAGTAGTTAATCGAATTTATCAATTTACCTTTTTATACAAGGAAAAAAAAAAATTCTTACCGACAATAGCACCAACAAAGGGTTCTTCGTTAAATTTTTCGTCTCTGAATAATTTTTGATAATTATTTTGATTTTCCAAATCGACTATTGAAGGATCAGGTTGAAAAATCGGGTGCGAATGATACCACCCAACGACTTGCATATTACGATCAGTAATGGTTTGCTGAACTTCTAATGCGGAAGTTGGATCCATCTCAACATTGACGTGATTCTCTCCAGTTTGAAGTGAACGACAAGGAAAAGTAGTTTTGATAATCAACTCTTCGAGAATTCATATTGATTAATAATATATATATAATTCATCTAAAATTAAATAGCTGCTAACTTACTTTTCTCCTCGGGTATCCAATGACCAGCTAAAAATCCAATGATTTCGGTATTCATAAGGTGTGCATGAAAATCCATCGCAACAAGTACGTTTGATTCTACAATCATCGAAAACGGTTGACATCCAGCAACATTTGAATTAGGAGCGCCAAAAAATGGATCGCACTTTATCATCGTCAATGGGTCTCTAATATTTTAAAGTTTTTTATTTCATAAACATATTTATTATAATGCAAATATTAATTTAAATAAACCTTACGCGCTTTCTTCGGGAGTGTTCGATAGTTGTTTTCTATCTCCACGTAATCTTGCTTTCGCATACTCAGTACGGCCATCAGCACCATACAATTGACTAGCATTTTCTTTTGCAACCTCTTGTGCAATCTTTGGTGACATACGGCTAAAAAGATTTCAAAAAAAAAAAAAAAAAAAAATTGCAATTAACTAATTATATAATAAATTTATTATCCTTTTACTTACGGACGACCACTACTACTATTCTCTTCGGCCGTTAAAATTTGATAATTTTCATCTGCTTGTATTAACATATCGTCTTCTATTTGATCACTTTCTTTAATTTTTAATTGCTCTTCTTGCCTAATTAGAAAATTTTGTTCCTTATCATTTAAAGATTGAGAATCGGACTGACTAATATTATCTACCGTATCATTTGGCAAATCATCATCTGATTTATTACTGGATGGTTTGATTGGGGATGATTCGGGTTTCTTTTCAAGTTCTCGGTTTTCTTGGGGCGGATTCCTCATAAGATATGGCCTCGCTGCAGCAGAGTTAGGATCTAACTCTTTACCTGACAAGGTATAACCCTTGCCAGATTCTTGCACCTAAATAAATAGTAGGAATTCATAAATCCGGGACAAACGGTAACTTATAAAAGTAGTCTTTTTTTTATTTTCCATGTACTCTAAGCACTTCCAAGTTATTTCTTCACCTTTAGTGGCAAGGGAATTCCATCTCTGAATAACTTGATAAAGTGTTTCTGAGCATGACTTCGTATCGAATTAGTATCCCTTGTTTTTATGTGTTCGGCCAACTTTTGTTTCAAAAGAGAAGTGTTAATTTATGTGAGGCGAAATAAAAAAAGAACAACTTATATAAACGAGTTTTTTATCTTACTTTCTTCCAATCACGCCCATAAAGGTCCAATCCGGACAAGAATAGAGATTCTTCTTCATCAGAGTACGCACCTATATTCATACCTGGTAATATTTTCTTTGGAGTTTTTTTTTGTTTTTTGATTGGTTCAGAATTAGATTTTACTTCATTTCTTTGGGAACCACTATTTCCTTCGCCATTTTTTCCATTATTTGATATATTTTCAAACACGTAAATATTCGAACTATCATCGATAGATACGGAATCATTGTTAGGATGGCTGATCATCTCATCAGACGGAGACACATTATTCTGTTGAGAAGTTTTTTTGTAAGCATCACTTTTGCGTTTACGACCTTTCGTTCCTTTAAATAAAGGATTTTGAAATTTTATCATGTTATAATACATTATTAAATAAACATAAAATTATCGATTAGAATATATCGCAAACCTGTTTTCTTTGATTTAGGTCTCGAAGACGGATTATAATCATCATCATCGTCTTTATCATCATTTTCGTAAAAATTGTCATATGTCGTACTATGATATTGTGAGTAATAAGGATGTTCATCATAACCTTCCTGAGCCAATAATTGTGCAATATATGCAGAAGACATTTCCTCCTCCTGTTGTTGCGTTAATACACTGGATGGTGGTTCGGGTGATGAACTTTTTCTCTGTTTTTTTAATGCAAGTTCCGTCTCTCCGGAAGGACGCGTTTTTGTTTTTGGAGGCATATTAATATCACGTATTATATATATAAGGTAACTATTTAAATAAGAAAATATAATCAAGTTATATTTCAATAATTATCAATTAAAAAAATGGCTTGATTATTTATCGATAAATCTTTACGCGTTTTTTAAAGATATAATTTGGTGATATGAGTATTATATCACATGATGATAGGTGAATGTTTGATGCTCATTATATTCTCAATTGACTTTGACCATGCTAGAAACAATTGAATGACAATATCAAATTCTTCTAAATACTTACCAGGTAGTTTTGAAGTGAAAGGTTTAAAGACAAATAAACTTTTATCTTATCAAAATTCATTTTTTTTTTTTTTTTGATAATTTACATGAGTTTGAAATCTAAAACTGGCCAGTTCCGTTCTCATGTTACAAATTACCCGGGCGAATTTATGTGAATGTACCGTGAATCATGTGAATTTTTTCCCTATTTTCCTGAACAAACATATCATCACAAATCACATTTGTTTTAATGTGACATTTAACAAGCTTTTTGTCTTCAAAGTTCCTTTAATTATTCTACGCCACTATTAGTGTAGTAAATATTTTATGAATTGTCCTGGCCTATTACATAGATAGTTAATAGTTCTTTTATATTACTTAAGTAACGGTGGAACGACCAGTAGCCACGTAAACACTATGTGGTCTAAAATTGTTGGCCAATTAAAAAATGCCAATCAACAGCATCTTTCCTCATTATTTAGTACACCACCAACACAACCTCCACCATCAACACCATTTAAACCACCTGAAAAGCCATTTGCAAGAAGAAGGGGTTCTAGCGTAAGCTCGGCTAAACAGCGCCAGAGTATAATTTTTGGACATAACTTAGAGAACGAGGCTTTAGAAAGATCAAAACTAAATACACGAAAAACGTGAGTTCTGAGAGATTTTAAAGTTAGATCTCGTGATAATAACACAGGTCGAATAGTAAAATTAAACGGCGCATGCATGTTTATAAATATTTTAAGAAAATTATTAATTATTAATTCGTGAGACGCGATTGATTTTTTGTTATGGATGAGTAGACGTGATATTTATTTTAGATTATAAATGTGCATATAATCTATTGCCGCCATTTTATTATTCGACCTGTGATCTTGATTTTGTATTTTGTTAGCCTTTTCAAAACGCGTAAGCTTTCTTAACTTCAGTGGTAATTCGGTTTGATGGTGCGTTAGAATTCCTGCTGAGCAACAAAATGATCTGTGTTCGCTCTTTCGACAATGTCAAAACTCTTCTGACGAAAAGGTAATGACATATTTGTTTGCCTTCCTATAAAAAAAATAAATAGTGGATATTCCTAAATGTCCTAACTGTTAATTATATTCAAATTTCTAGGAACAAGACGTATTATTAATTGCAACCTCACGTAAATTTTGTGACATATATGTTGAAGCTCCCGAGTTGCTTCAAGAGAGGTGATTATGAAATAGTTGATAATATAATGGGACAAGTTTAATAACGTATTTGGCATTTAAAAATAGTTTCGAAGACCTTGAATCTTTTACCAAAGCTATATCAAAACACTTAGTTACTTGTATTCGCGGTATTCTTCCGGCGGAAAAAGATTTTAAGGCCAGTCAAGGTAGTTTGAACATTTGTTAAGCCATGATATAAATTTACAGGATGTTAATCTCCTTTCTTTTGTTTAAAATAGAGCTTTTGAAAATTTTATCTGATGAAAATCGATTATTAATAATATTAAAAGCAATTGACATATTATGCTTTGGACCTGTATGTATAAGTATTGATCTTTATACATTTTTTATATTCGTGCGATAATCTTAAAAGCCATATTATATTATATGTATATTTATTTAATAGTTTAGAAAATAATGAAAGATATTGAGAGCTTAATTCTTTATTTTAGGAAGTTGTATATGAGATCATGTCCTCAAACGAACTTCCTTCAGTCCTGATATATACGTTACAGTGTTTCATAGAAAATAATCCACAAGACGAATTGCTTAAATCCAAAGAGAAAAGTGAATCGCTGCCATCAGATGCATCAGCTTCTTTTAGTGTGATATCTGATATCATGACGGATATTCTTGTTTATTTCGTAACAAAGCCAATAATTTTGAGTCAGTTAATTAAACAAGATTTGTTGTTCTTACTGGTTACAATGACAATAAATAAAGGAAGAACTGTATATAATGTCGATATCGACAATCAGTCTTTCGCTTGGGAGGATAGGTATAATTAGGTGTATTTTTATGATTTCAAGTTATATCAATTTTTTACTAATGTTGTTAATTTATTTAGAGCACTTGATATTCTTGCTAGTTTATTTGATTCAAATATCATAAATGAAGAATGTTTAAATTACTTTCAGAGTAAAAATATTTTAGGTGCGCTCATGAAAGTATTGGCAGATAATATTGATTTCGAAAAAAATAAATTCATTGATAATCCACAATTAATATATGCCGGTTCTATGCTTGTCGACTTAATACAGGTTAGTTATCCTTACTAATTAATTTATGAAATAAACTTAATAAATTATTCATTAACTCATGGCTTGATTAGGGTACATATAAAATTACGCCAATATTTTTAGAAGAATTTTGTAATTGTAAGGGGTATGATGCATTTTTCAACTTACTCGTATTACCCCCATTTGATGGACAATCGTCGACTACTAAGGTGAATGTTCAGTTTAATTTTTGATTAATGAATCATTTTGAAATTGCCGATAACATATCCATTAAATTAGGATACGTTAATAACACTTGCCGAAGATCTTGTATTTTTCGGAACGGATGCTATAAAACCTGCTTCGAATGCGACGCCGTATCAACATAGCGGTAATTTAATTCAACGGGGGTTTTTTTTTTTTTTCGATAATTTTAGTTTAAATTAAGTTTAAAAAAATTTTTTTTTTTTTTAGATTTTAAATTACCTCCTGAATCAAAGGACGATGGTAATTTATATTTTTATTAATTAATCTGTAATTTTAATATATGATATATTATCTTGAAAAAAAAATATATATATATATTTTTTAGAATCGCTTTTTCGTAACGAGAGAGCATTCCAAGTTCTTGTATCCGCTCTTCTGTATCCAGAGTCAAAATCAAATTTTCATTTTGGTTCATTAGATGTCAATAGTGATGTAATTCCTGACATTTTCCGCCAAAAAATAGTTGCGGCTATCGCTGAAGTTTTCAAATCAAACTATTTAAATTATTTTTTGACTGAGTCCTTGAACATAGTACCGATTTTGATTGAACATTTAGATAAATTTAGTTCGAAAGTTCAGGTTGGAATCGTATATATTATTAAAGGAATAATAATTGGCTTCATATATGATTAACATATTGTATATATTTTAGAGGTCAATTTTGGATTTGTTGGTGTTTGTTATGGTTGATTTGAATTATGTTCCATTTAGGGAATTGGTTGTATTGTCTTTACATTTTCAAGGTAGATATCTCGTTATCAAATATTAAATAATTAAAATAACTTCGATATATCAATTCTAATCGTTAAATATATATCTTTTACAAAGGCCAGTCATTGAAACATACGACAGCTGTTGCGTGTGAAACTGTTATTTCACTTTTACAGACTTCTTCAAAATTTAAGGACGTTTTTCGTGAAATCGGACTATTAAACATGTTATGCAGCCTTCTTCAGGAATTAGCAACTACGCTACAGGATAAGTTTGGCAACGCGCATTTTGTAAAAAGAATATCAATTTCGCAATTATCAGACATATTAGAACATCAAAACAAAGAAACAAAAAATCGGTTCGGTTCTGAAGTAATTGAAAATTTTCAATTAATAGCGGAGTGTCTGATCGAATTATTAAAAGGCAACAAAGCAAATCTTACTTTATTTGGAGTCACGTAAGGAAATTATTTATGACTAAACTTTTTCTATGAAATATAATTTATTTACATTAACCATATCTTATAGATATAAAGGAAATTTATTTGATTTATTACATTACGATGAGACTCGTGATGGCGCGTTAGCTATCTTTGAAACTTTAGTTGTAGAAAGTTATGTTTTATGTAATTCTGAGCCACAAACTCCCAAATCAACTAAATCTTCTTTATCTTCAGCTGTAGAACATTCATTTCAATTTGGAAGATTAGTCGAGATTGTACAATCACTTTCTCGGTTTGATCTCAAAATGAAAAAACACATTCTTTGGTCTATGAGGCGGATTTTGGTAGCGTGCCCCGAAATGAAGGATGTTTTTCGTGATACAGGGGGTTTTGTGTGTCTCGTCAGCTTATTAGTAGGGCTAGAAGATGTATATAAATTATGGATTAAAAATAATGAGATTAAGGACAATCCTCAAAGTGCTGATGAAATTAAAAAAACGAATAGAAAATATTTTGAAGATGAACATCCCACAAAAGATCAAGCAGTTGAAATGCTGAAAGCCATTTTTTCGCTATTTGCTGAAGCGCTTTCAGATCATGATGCAAATCGACGATTTTTCAGCACTACTATCGGTTTTAAGTCTATGGAGGATGCAATTGTTCTTACTCGTATTCTTGAACCCGGTGGTTCTGCTGAACATTTTTTTGGAATTATCTTCGGGTTTGTTGTTGAAAACGAAACCGTCGTTGACGTATTTGCTGAACCGGTGTCTAATGGAATCGAAAAATCTGGAGAAAATTCAAGCAGAATCACTAGGACATTTGGCAATATGAATGATGAAATTAGAAATCCCAATGTCGTTCCAACTATATTAAATTTGCAATTACATGTGCGATATAATGAAAAATTGTTCTCATATATTTATGAAGCAATACTTGCTCTTGCTTTTGCTAATCGACGAAATCAGGTGATGTTAAATAAATATGGAGTACTAGAAATTGTTTTAAGGCGTCTTTTTCCAACGCCCAAAGAGATTCCTACAAATGAAAGACGATTTTTGAATAGATTAGCTTTACGTCTAATTGAAATGGGTGTTTCTACTAAAGAAATTCGATTTTTATTCGAGCAGCTTGAAAATGGAAATCAACAGTCTGAAGAAATATTTACAGACAATGAAGGAAACTTCATGAACGCGATGGACATGGTTTTATTTGGTGTTCAAAGAAGTCGTTGGCCTAGATTTGTTCAATTTGATATGAGTCAATTCGGATATTCTTGCATGGAAATGAGTAACTTAAGTGATCGACAATTTCCGCCAGCTAATGGAGGATATACATTTATGACTTGGCTTGATATTGAAAATTTTGATTCAAATATTAATTTGACACTCTTAGGTTTGAGTGATGATGAAAAACGTTGTTACTTGCAAATATATTTTGAAGCTAAAACTCATAAACTTGTTGTTCAGACTTCACCAAAACAGTCAACTATATTTGAGAGATATGAATTTAAAACAGGTTGTTGGTATCATATTGCTATTGTACATAACCGACCACGTTTAGGGTCATCCACAATGTCTCTATTCGTCGACGGTCGATTTGTAGAAAATCTAAAGTGTCCATATTTAGGTCAGCCTGCAGCTAATAGACCGATAAGAACATTTATTGGAACACCTAAGGATATTGCTCGCACTTCAGGTAAAGGCGAAACAAGACTCTCATGGGATCTTGGACCATGTTATTTTTTTGAGGATGATTTAGATGGTGATCTTATTAGTGTATATTATCATCTTGGTCCTCGTTATTCTTCTAATTTCCAAGATTCTCTTGGACAATTTCAAACTTATCAAACATCAACACTTCTTACTATGAAACTTGAAGCGTTAAATCGACAGCGAAAGGATGCAAACATTGAAGTAGATCATTTAGCTATGGTAACTGCAATTCGTGGAAATAATAGTCAAACTTTGCCTGAAGACAAAATTATTTTTGCTTTTAATGCAAGCAATATGCTTGTATGTGGTCAAAATGCTAATATTTTGGGATCAGGGCTATATGAAGGGACATCACAAGAATTAGCACTTAGCACTGTAATTTTAAATGCTGCTGTTCCAAAAGTAGAACGGGCATTACGAGTTTCACATGGATTAGCTGATTTATATGGCAATCCTGTTACTGCAATCCCTTATGGGATGGATGATTCAATTTGGAAAATTGGAGGTTCTGCTGTAGTTTTAAGATTAATAGAAAGAGCAGATGTAAGAAGAGCTTTAATTTTATTCAATATTGTAGATTGTAAATTATTTGACTTTATACTTATATTTGTATATTAATTATAAAAGACAGCAAAAGATCTATACAAGACAGTTTGTACACTAATTGAACTTATTCGGTTCAGTTGGAGAAATTCTGAGGATATGGAAAGAATTCATGGTTATGAAATCTTGGCTTATTTATTAAAACAAAAACACGGTCTTTTGACATACGAACTCCTGAATTTATTACTTGTTTTTGTTGGGTATAACCCAATAAACCCAATGTAAGTTTATAACTTAATATTGTCTACAAATGTATTTTTTTTATCCATGTCGAAGATATTCAACTTTAGTTTTTCCCATCATTAAGGGACTCAGTAATCATCAATCCACTTGCTTATCGGTTTCTTATACTTGATTTCGATTTATGGAGACATGCTGACGAGACTGTCCAACGTGCCCATCTTATGCAATTTGCGACATTTATCCAATTAAGTCAACATCATCATTTTAATGCTAAGCGTTTGAGTAAAATGAGTATCCTTTATTCATATTTATTTATAATGAAAGTAATTTTGCCATTTTTGATATCCATAACCATCGCAATAACACTAAAGGCGTTGTAAAGAAAATGCTAGTTGCCTTAAAGTTAAACGTTTATCCGAAGGATTTATTGATAGACTTCATTGCAACGCTTAATATTGTAGTTAAATACAATTTTACAAATGAAGTCATAAGATCTATAGCAACATTTCTAGTATCTTCTCTTAATAAACGTAAGTTTTTTTCTAATTCAATTAACTTTTACTTGTTCTTAAGTTATTATTACTAACTTCATATGCAGCAAACAAGCCACGATTTGTTGCTACTCCTCGTCGAGAATCTCCCCTTAAAACTGGAATTGGTTCTTCTTTTGTACATGAAAATGTGATAGGAAAGTCATCTGTGAAAAATATAATAACAGACGTGAAAAGTTTGTCAGTGAAGCATATAGGTGTTTTAGTAATGGAAATGCTTACCGAAATACTTTGCGATAAAATGAATCCTTTTTACGTTAATAAGTTTTCTTCAACAATTACAAACAAATGGCCATTACTTTTTTTTAACGAAGACTCTAACCCATTCTGGGTCGTTTGTGCGGCTAGAATTTTGGCCAGATTGTTTCATTCTCAAGGCTCCTCTTATGTTCATAAATTTCGCTCATCCTCAGAAGGGTTTATAGTAATGCAGAAATTGCTCCCGCAATGGTGGTATCTCACGCAATTACAGCAAGCATTATTTGCTATGCTTTTTGGTACAGATATTTGTGACGTTCCTTTCGATGCGCCATTTGATCTCTTTTCTCTTTTGACTTTGTTTAGAGACAAAGATAACGAGACACATATTGTATGTCCGGATGTTTTGCCAATTATTTTGTCTATGATGAAGGAAGGTATCAATACAATAGTAAAATTGAGCTACGATATAGAAAAAAATACAAAATCAAGAGTTAGAACTCAAGACGACATAATTACACAAAAGAATAAAACAGAAGCTGAACGGAGACGACTTTCAAGAGATAATGATGTCCTTCTTGAAGGTAAAGTTTATATTATTAGTGAAGATTATGAGATTCTCGTTTTGCGTATTAACATAATCGTACGTTTTTGGTAGAAAAAAATGGCGAAGAAACCAAAGAAACTTTGTTTAAACTTTCTCATGTTGAACAGACTCTCATACATTTTCTCGCCGACATGTATAATAATTCTGCTGAATTCAGTGAACTTTGTTGTAAAAGTGAAATAATGGATAGCTTTATTGAAATTTTATTTCCAATTGTTTGTGCTTGTGATGAGGTCTCAATAGAAACAGAACTACATTCAAAAAATTTTGGAATGGAATGTGATATCAATGCGGTTTTTGAAACGCACATGAGTAGCGGGACTTCCATTATAGTTCCGATCCTTACAAGTATATCAAAGCAGCCAACTCAATACATTGATGATGAACCTGCAGAAGAAATGACTTCCTTTTCAAGTGGAAGTAATCGCTTGAGAATTATAACAGATAATCTCACATTAGGTTCTTTATCATCGTCGCCACTACGATCGAGCCCATTACAAAGTGATACGGAGGAAGATCCCATATTTAATGTACCAGAAACCACCGTAAATCAAAGAGCAAAAAGAACAGATTATGCCGAACATAAGAATGCGACTGTAGAAAGTCTTCTTGAGTTTATAGTTTCGATCTGTATAAATTCTGTTGTTGATCTCAAAACCAAACCCCTGTCAGGTCTAGAAGTTGTGCTCAGAGTATATATCAATTTGCATATTATAGCGATTTATCATTCTTTTGTAATTACTAATGTAAATTGTATTTTTAGTCATTCCCTCCATCTTTATTAGAGCATCAGGTATATAAAGTAGTTAGTATTGTAAACAAATTATATATCATTGCTAACAATATAATTTCTTTAGATACAATTCGAAAGTTATATTTTAACACATGTCTTAGGTAGTCTCAAAAGCGTTTCACAACTTGATATGAATATGTTAATGGATCAACGTATAATGGCAAACATCGCTAGATTTTCCCAACTTACGGTAGACGCATTATATCAAGGTTAAGATTTTTAAGATTTATAAATTAAACATCATTTTTATATTTATAGAAAAATTAATAAATTAATTTACATTAGGGTGGTTTTCGGATGGAAGAAAACAAATATTCGATTTCCTTACCGTTGTTCTTGAAGGAATTCAACGAATTGATAATGCTAATAATGCTAATGGAAAACGAGCTAGTGACCAATGGATCGTTTCATTGTATCGCTCTTTGAATAGAACTATTTTGTTTGGGTTATCAGAAATGGATAAAATGCCAATTGACGCTGATGAGATTCTCGACAAAATGATTTACCATCAAAAAGTCATATTTAGTCAATATAATACTGATATTGAATTTTTAAAATGTTTATGTTATCATCTTTATAAATGTTTACTTTATGATAACCAAGAAATTAAAGCTATATCAACAAACGTATCCTTTATCATAAGTAGTTTATTGAAAAAAAAAAATATACTTTATTCTTAATCAAAGAATATTTTATAGATTTGGAAATTGTTAATGCTTCAAAAACAAGTTGAAATGTCTGGAATTTTGAAAACACGTATCAAAGGAATAGGTATATATAGATTATTATTATTATTATTAGACATACACAAGTATGTCTTTCTAATAAATTATGATTTAACATCCTCACGTTTAGAACACAAAGAACTAATGGAAGGGTTTTCAAAACCTCTTGAGATGGTAATACTCATACTATCTGAATTATATGATTTCAAATGTTTTATATCATTCGATATTTACTGGTTCCTTCGTTAGGACGTGGCTTCATTTTTGGAATGGATTGACTCTCGTAGAATTCAATTGGATGCTTTATTTCTCGAACAGATCTCAAAGATATGGGAATTTATAATCGCAAATGAAATGAAAAATAGTAAAGAATCAATCAAAAGTATTCATTCAAAGCGAATGAATAATAAACTCAAGCGATTACATAAAAAGGTTACATCGGAACAAGATCTATTCGACCGTTATCGTGTTAGGACTAACAAGTGGTCAAGACATATACAAGAAATTGAAACTGGTCGATACCATAAATCGATACAAGACAGTATAGATAATTGCAATTATTTTAGAGATGAATGGACAAAAACTTCAGCAGATTTATTCCGTGAGCGTGCTCTCTGGGGTTCAAAAACTGTTGACACCGAGGCAAAATGGAGATTGGATTTCACAGAAGGTATTAATCTATGAACAAGATATACAGAATAAGTCCTTTTAACCTTATATCAATTTTAAGGTCGATGTCGAATGCGTAAAAAGCTAGAAAGAAATGAAAATTTGCGGTTACACACATACAAACCAAAAAGCAGTAAAAATGAGAAAGCAGTGAAAGAGGTATATTTATTTATTAATCGCAAATAAAAATAGAATTTTTTAGTGATTTCGCTTACTTTCTTAGAACTTAAATGAGAATACACCTCCTTCTCCGGTAGCAAGTAGTCCAATTAAATCATCATGTTGGTATTAGCATTTAAATTTATGATAATAATAAATTTATAAATTTATATATATTTAATTTTTTTTTTTTTTTACCAATAAAGCATTAGAAATACCCGGCTTTCATAATAAAAGAGGTATTTACCGATTTTTTTTTTAGAGTTTTATTTATTTTTTTTTTTTAAAAACAAAAAAAATTTGAACTGTAATTTACATAGGAAAATCGCTGGATCGTCAAATGACTCTTACGCCAAGTACTAGTGATTTGGAGACAATCCCATCTGATGATGTGGATTCCATTGGAAATAGTAAGAATAGTCCAAAATTAGTCGTTATCATAGCCCTTTGTTTATTCTATTGTAATAATTTTCCCTACCAAATTAGGTCAATACACGGAGTCACAAGAAGTCGATGAGGAAGCTACATATGAAGAGGACAATTATAGCAAAGTATTAAGGTCATTAGAAACAGGAGATTCTGTCTTAGATATTTACAATATAAGCCGTATCACCGGATTGGATGCATGCGGTAAATACTGAAGCAGATAAATTACGAACATTACGAACCCTTTCTAACATTTTATTTTATGTACTTTAGAGGGTCTTTTACTATTTTGTAAACAGAATTTGTATTTGATAGATAATTATTTTCAACGTTCAGATGAAGAAATCGTTGACATTTGGGATGCACCAATAGAGGTTTGTTTATATAATTTAGATAAATTATCCTTACTCTAAATATATTATTTATTAATCATAATCTAAAAAAGGAACGAGACCAATATTTACAAATGTTAGCGGCACACGCAGGCTATGATAGCAATACTAGTGTGAAAGAAAAAAAACATAAGAGTCGACGATGGTATTTGTCTAAAGATGATTATGATTATTTTATTGTTATTATAAATATTAATTGAAATATAATAATAGGGCTTATGATGATATTAAAGAAGTTCATAAACGAAAATTTCTGTTTAGGTAATTTAAGTCCATATAGAATATATTGTATATATTGTTTAGATTATACGATTCATACTAAATGATTTTCGCTTTATAAAGGGACGTTGCACTCGAAATATTTTTTGCTGATGGTCGAAATTATCTAATAACATTCTTTTTGAAAGAAAGAGACATAGCATATAGTAAACTCATTGATAGAGCTACATTTTCAATTAGTGGTTCTGAATCAGTTATAGGAACTTCTGCGACTTTAGATGTGATGTCGCCTGTAACTCCGTTATCTATTAGCTCTTCATTCAAATTGACAAATTTCTTTGCAAATTCTTCGTTAACCGAGTTAACTTCACGATGGGAAAAGAGAGAAATATCAAACTTTCAATATTTGATGCATTTAAACACTCTGGCTGGACGGTCTTATAATGGTACGATTTCATAAATAGGGTATTAATATTTTTCAATATTCTCATTACAAATAATGATTTATTAGATCTTACGCAGTATCCTGTTTTCCCATGGATTTTAGCCGATTATACTAGTGAGGAAGTGAGTAATATGATGAAATTTCTATTCAACTTTATGAAGACTTAATTCTATATATATATTTTTTTTTTTTTTTAGTTGGATTTAACGAATCCTGCTACCTTTCGGGATTTATCAAAACCTATGGGACCTCAAACAGAAGAACGAAAAAGTAAGTATTAATATAATAGACTAAAAATATACAAACGTGTGATCAATATTAACTTTCACATAATTTTAGAGGAATTTCAACTTAGATATCGTTCTTTTGATCCCACTGCAAACGCAACAACACCAGCGTTTCATTACGGAACACATTATTCATCTGCAATGATTGTCTGTTCATATTTAATACGTCTTGAGCCTTTTGTCCAACAATATTTAAAACTACAAGTAATATTATATATATATATATATTTTTTTTTTTTAAAAAAAAAAAGGGTAACCAAAATTATACTTCTGTTGAATTCTTATAATCTTAGGGTGGCCATTTTGATCACGCTGATCGATTATTCCATTCGATTGCAAAAGCGTGGTCATCTGCTACACGCGATAATATGAGTGATGTCAGAGAATTGATTCCAGAATTCTTTTATCTACCCGAATTCCTAGAAAATACCAACAAATTCAACTTTGGTATAGTATTTTTATTGTTATACTTTGCATTTTATAGCATAAGTAATTGTTTTTTCTTTTAGGTGTTAAACAAGGAACTGGAGAAGTAATTGATTCAGTCGTTCTTCCTCCATGGGCTCATGGTGATTCCAGAATATTTATTCATAAACATCGACAGGTTCTTATATATAAAAGTTTATGATTCTATATATCAAATATTATTTTTATTAACACTACGGAATTTTAGGCACTCGAGAGTGAATATGTAAGCGCACACCTTCATGAATGGATAGACTTGATTTTTGGTTATAAACAACAAGGACCAGCAGCAGTTGAAGCCATAAACGTTTTCCATCATCTCTCTTATGAGGGAGCAATAGGTAGAAATTACGCACGTCAATTTACAAAATTTTCTTTTTTAATGTATATACTTAATTTTCATTTATTAAAAAAAAGATTTGGATGCTATTACTGATCCCGTTGAACGTTCGGCATCAACTGGTATTATTCATAACTTTGGACAAACACCACGTCAACTGTTCACTAAACCTCATCCTGCAAGATTACCCGAATCATATGATCCTGCTAATGGTATAGGGTTATATAAATTCCACGAGAATGTTGATAAATTAATTCCATCAATATGTCCATTGATAGGTAATATATATTTGATGTATATAGTGTATACGTAATATATAATTAGTAACATTGGATTATACTATAGATATTCGATTACAAGTTCATGACATCCGTTTAGCAAATGACCGCTTAGTTGCGGTTAGTACACAAAAAATTTTGGTTCCTCCTGAATATACTTATTATGTTGAATGGGGTTATTCTGACAATAGTCTTCGACTTCATCAAATGGACACAAGAAAGGTATGATAAATTTTAAATTATTATTGTATCTCGATAAAAATCATTAATTTGCTTTTAAATAGTTGATTGGATTGTACGAGAATCTTCATTTAGAAGCTGTAAGTTGTGCTTGCTTTGCCGATGGAAGAACATTTGTCACTGGTGGTACGGATGCGGTAAGTGATTTTAAATATTTATTTATTTTAAAGAAATACATTTATACATTCATCTTATTGTTAGGTTATTTGTATCTGGAGATTAAAATGGAAGACAAAGTCTCCAGTATTTCAGTTTATGGAATGTTTACGAGGTCATTCAGCAAAGATTAATTGTATTACAAATTCGAGATCCTACAGTATAATTGTTAGTGGATCAGATGTAAGTAATATGTAAGAATGAGTTCTTTTTTAAATTAAATTATTAATCTATTAACGATTATTTATTACTTTTCATAGGATCAAACTTGCATAATTTGGGATTTGAACAGGATGAAATATGTAAGACAACTTCAAAATCATGAGGCCGGAGTTCAAGTAAATGTTTAAAAACGGATATAATTTTTTGTTTGCACATTAAAATTATAATATTGTACTAAATTATGATCATTTTTTTTTAACAATAGTTTGTCGCAGTTAATGATACTACGGTAAGAAATTAATTACATTTTTTTTTATTCTTTGAAATTAACTATAATTTATTTAATTCATAGGGAGACATTGTTACATGTAGTGGACCAGTTATTAAAATTTGGACTATTAACGGAGATCTCTTATTGACTAAAAATACATCACAGCTTCAAGATCCTATTCTTTGTTGTACTTTTTATGAGGTAAACCTTTGTTATAATAAAACCGGATGATTTAAATCTATACGATTTTAAATATATTTAATTATTTGATTATTTAATTAGGGAAAGCAAAATGAATGGCTCGACGAAGATATGATCATAACAGGACACAAAAAAGGAGTAATAAAGATATGGAATAAAACTTTAGAGCCAAAATCAGCTTTAAATAACAATGAAAAAAATAATGATGAAAAAAAAGGTATTTAAATTTCCGATAATTTTTTTTATTATAATTCTTGTACTAATAACAACTTTATTATTAGTTGTTAAATGGGATCTTTCATTGAGACATCAAGTGAAACATGAAAGTAAATTGGGATTAACAACATCATCAGATATAGTAGCACTATTAGCCTCAGGAACGCAGCGTGTTCTTTATAGTGGAGATTCATTAGGAAAAGTTTATACATGGGTTTTACCAGATGTTAAAATAGAGTCACATTGGATGCCAGATAATCAAACAGACAACTGTCTCAAATGTGGAACTAAATTTGCAGTATTAGATAGAAAAATACATTGTAGAACATGTGGAGGTATTTATTGTTCAGGATGTACAAATAGAAATTTAAGATACTGTGTAGATTGTTGTGAAAAATTAGGAATGACAAATTCCACTTAATTTGTAATAATATAAATAATATAAAATATATTTATTTATTTATTTATTTATTTGTTTATTTATTTATTTAATTTTTTTTCAATATATATTTATACATACATAGAAATACAATTATTATTATTTATTATAAATTAGAAGAATGAAGTTTTATCTCATGAAAAGATTGACCTATTGTATCTATTGAAGTATTACTTTTAGATGAACTTTCACTATTTGTTAAAGCAGCTAAATCAGTCCCTTCGCTAATAGTAGTTGCTATTTCTATTTCATATTCATCGTTATTATTAAATTTAGATGAATCAAATAGTAAATTATCATTATCATTAATATTATCAGTAGTTAATAAAACACTATTCTTTTCTTTGATATAATCCCAACGATTCCTACAATGTTTGTTCACAGAAGGTAAATAATCCCATGCACACCAAAATGCAACGACAGCATAAAAACCACCACCAACTAAATCAACCATGTAATGGTGAGTTAAATACATACAAGCCCACCATATCCACATGACATAAGCAAAGCCAAACGGTTTAGACTTTGGAATAACGTGTGAAATAAACAATGCTTGGATTATCGCACATCCAGAATGAAGTGATGGAAATGCTCCAAATACCATTGGAGATCCACTAAATGTCTTTGTATAAGTGTCTGTTCCGAATAATTTATCTATACGAGCCAATCCGCCTGGATGACCAGGCATTGTATATTCTGCTGGTGTGTTCATTCCATACGTATATTCATACCATGGAGGAGAACATGGAAAAACTAATTGTGTTAAAACTCCTGCAAGATTCATATATCCAAACGATTTTGAAAATACTGGTAAAATACCTGGTGGTCCATACCACCATAATCCTGCACTTGTTAAGAACGGTAATGTAAAATGTATTACTCCATAAGGTAACCATGCTAGTAAATCTTTAACAGTGTTAGTATGTTTAGCTATAATAACTGATAAATTATCTCCATATAAAATATTTTCTAATGCTGGCAAAACCGAAACATAAATATGAGGTCTATTTGCTCCCGGAATAAATCTACATGAATAAAATAATACTAACCAACTTGCTATAGGAAGAAAAGGCAAAAAAAATTTTCGGGGAACTGGAAAATAAAGTCCAATTGCAAAAATACAAACTATTAAAAGCTTCAAGAAAATTCCTGGAGTTCCAATTATATAAAAAAGAAATACCCCTAAAATTAATAAAAATACGTATTGAATGTCATAAATTGTCCATGAATAATAATGTAATCTTGGTGGAATAAATCGTTTTGTAAAACGTAACCAAAAAGATTTCCATTGTAAGTTCTTAAGGAAACTTGCTTCGATAAAGAAAACTGGCATAATAATAAATTAATTGTTCCTTTTATTTATTTTTCTATTATTATTTGGTTTGTTTTTTTATGTGAATTATTATTTATTATCTGTTATATATAATGCATTATCTTATTTTAAGAAAAGTTTTTATAATTTATAGTCAGTTAACGAGCAAAACGCCATAGAAGAAAGAGTTCAAATCGAGTTGAATATAAATAGGAAAAAAAATTATGTAGATCTATTAATCGGTTTAGTCCTGATTTAATGAATAACCCTCGTCTAATAAGGTATAAACGTGATGTCACTTTGCAAAAAATTCCGTTGCGGGTAAAATTCTACCGTATAATTTTTTTCCCTTTCAAACAATGATATAAATTTCGCTGTATTATTTAAATAATATTGTCGTATATCAAGTTCATCCGTGAGAAGAAAACTTGATTATACCAAATAAAGAAATGGTTTTATTACTAAGAAATTACACTAATTCATTTTTTTTTTGGGTCATCAAACTGATTTATATTGATTACGCCATGAAAAAGATTGATTTCATACAAGGAACTGCCTTTCTATCACGTGCTAAACAAGCTGATTCGTTCCTGTGTGATATACATATTTTACCATGTATTCTAACCTTTTTTCGCTGTTACTGATCCTGTAACGGGTCGCCTATTATAAAAGTTACTACTTTAAAATGATTAAATAGTTAAAAAACAGAGAAAGCGGACATTTCACTTTTGTCACATTTCATTTATCTTATTGTCCCCTCTAACCTTAATTTTTTTTATCAGAATCTAATCGCATAATTATCACATGTAACATAACTCGATTTTTTCTAAAAACTTTATGACTTCACCAATAACTCCGGCAAATCCTCCTCGTCCAGCTCTTAAAGCCACAGACGAAAAAAGTTTTGCTTTTACAAGTACAACTTATAGGTGGCCAATTATTATTACAAAAGCTATTGACGATATCTACAAAACCCGTCATGATATTGATACTTCAAAAGAACCCGAAAAAGCGAAAGAAGGGAAAGATATCATGGATTCTATAGCTTTATTAAAATACGAAATGCAACGAAAGAGGCAATTAACGTATGTTAAAAATTTTTTTTATCTAACACCATAAATTTCTTTAATTCGATTTTTTTCCTCTAATGATTAGACCAATCGAAGATGATGGGGAACCAGATATTAATACATATAATGAAGTGTTTACTAGATATTTCAAAGAAGAAAATTGGTATTCAGCTTCATGGCTTTTCACTGAATGTTATTTATATCGTAGGATTCGTTCCATATTGGCAAAAACTAAGTATTGGCGTAATTATGATCCTTTTTTTCGACAAAAGGAAGAAATAATTAAAGCATCTTTTGCAGCTATAATTGAGCTTGCAAAACGTATTGATGAATTAATTTCTAATCAAAATCATGACAAAAAGATATTATTTCATGAATTAGCTCAAATAAGCTTATGGGGAAATGCTACTGATTTATCATTATTAACTAATCTAAATTATAATGATATAAATAAATTACAAAGTATCGATGCTAAAGCATTGGAACAATCAGAAAATAAAATTTTAGTGAATGATTTGGAAAAATTATGGAATAAGCTCTCTCATTATCAACAAAAGAGAATTGATTTTGTTCTTGACAATGCTGGTATGAAATTACTTACTTTATTAAACCTTCATTTTAAGAAAATCCTTTTAATTTATCTTTTGTATGTAGGATTTGAATTATACGGAGATTTGATATTTGCTGATTGGTTAATTCAAGTTGGTTATGCATCCGAAATTTACTTGCATATCAAAGCAATTCCATGGTTTGTTTCAGATACAACGTCAAATGATTTTAATTTGTTACTTAGTTCATTAAAAAATGGTTCTTTATCTGCATCCTCCGATGAAAAGATATATCTTGAAAAATTAGCAAAAAGATGGCAAGAATATATTGAAAATAATAAATGGATTCTTAAATCAGATTATTTCTGGACATCTCCTTATTCTTATTGGCATCTTAAAGAACAAGCGCCTGAATTATTTACTGATATTTCCAAATCTTCATTAGTAATTTTTAAGGGTGATTTAAATTACCGTAAATTAGTTTATGATTGTAAATGGCCAACTACCACTCCATTCAAAGAAGCGATTGGACTTTTTGCTACTGAAAAATCTGCTCCGCCTATTTTAGCACTTCGTACTAGTAAAGCGGATGTTATTGTCGGGTTACCCGAAGGAATTGAAGAAAGGTTATCCGCTTTAGAAGCAGATTGGATGTATTCTGGAAAATACGCAGTTATTCAATTTAATGAAGGAAATCAATAAATATAAATAGTATAAGACTATAAGTTTAACTTCTTTGTTAATAAAAAGAATAGAATCCGATTACTATTTACATATACAATTTGCATTATTTTATAATGTTTCGGAAAAATTACGTAAAAATAACCTGTTTGCAAGTTATACTTTTAAATAAATTTTTTTTTTTATTTCATTGTAGTCAATCATTTTGATTATTTGACTCAATTTATCATTTTCCTAAAATATGCCAAAGAAAATATCACAAAAATTCTCAAAGAAAGGTAAACAACCTCTTTTTAATTCTTCTCAACAAAAAACTTCAGCACTTAAAAAAGTACAAAATGAGAAAACGCCAAAATCGACGAATTATAAAAATACGATGAAATTAAATAACACTAATTCGTTATTTGAAGATAAAGTTATAAGTTCAAATTCGAATGATAATGAAAATGAAGAACTTAAATTTAATAAAGATGAATCAGGAGACAAAGACGAAGATATTATAATGCAAAATGTTGAATCAACATCATCGGAAGAGGAGGATAGTTCAGATAATGAAAATATGAAAAAAATAAATTATAGTGAAGAATCGGAAGAATCGGAAGAAGAGAATTCAAATGTAGAAAATATGGATGAAAAAGAATTGAGTGATAAGACAGATGATGAGGATGATGAGATGGATGAAATTGTAGAAGATACAACAAAAATTTCTTTAAAGAAAAAAACAAAAGAAAAAGAAGAAATAAAAAGTCAAGATAAAAATACGAGCAAAGAAACTACAGAAGTAACATTTTTCCTTTATATCAATAATATTTTGAAATTAGTGTAAATTTATGAATATTTATGTTTTTTTTTATAGGAAAAAGATCTAATTCCAACACCTTTATTAGCACGTCCGCAAGCTGAAAAACAATTTCGTGATTTTTATATGAATCAAATTACTAAGGCATTTGGTGAAGATTTGGACAAATTAAGAAAGAAGGTAAAGTTAGTTATACTTATAATAGACTTGACAGATAAATAATTTGTTAATTTTATTTCAATTAAATAAATTATAGGAAGTAAATCTTGGTTCAAATAAATTGGAAATATTGATTGATGCATTAGAATCAGGAATAAGTATATTTTCAGATGTAGAGAAAGAACTAGCTCTATTATCATCAAATAAAAAATAATTTATTATAATCTAATAAATTTTGCTTGTAAAAATCTTCTGTCCACGCGTAATTCTTTAGCTCTATTTATAGTTTCTTTTTCAACATATTCACCATTAATCATTTGAAATAAACCATCTTTTTCAAATAAGTCTTTTAAATATTCAATGGTAAAAAAATATGACATAGTGCCATCTTGTCTTACATAAAGATTTTCATCAAGTTTATGTGCGCCATCACTAGAAAATTTTAATTGAGTTTCATCATAAATTGCATAATCACGGAAACAAATTATAGAACCTTGTTTTGTTACCTAATAAAATTTTTAGTTACTATTTTTATGTTTACCAGAATTTCAGCACATTTAAATAAATATAATTGCATTTACCTTTGATATATTTCTTATAACGTTTAAATGTTTCTCTGGTGGAATAGCGGATAATACAAATATTGATGAAACAATATTTACCTTATCATTTGATGATATGAAATCTGGTAAATTATCTTCCGTTAAATCACAAACAAATGCATTGCATCTCTTCTCATCGTATTGAAAATGATTCTAAAAAAAGAAGAGAAGGTTAAGTATATAATTTATTGTGAAAAAATAGTATTATGAGATAGATACCTTTACAAATTCAATAGCCCTTTTTGAGAAGTCACAAGCATAGATAAATAATAAAGGATTTGATTCTAAAACTGGAAATATAAAATTTCCTACACCACAACCCAATTCTAACACAATTTTTTTATTATTTAATTCTGAGTCTTGTTCATTATTATTGAAAGAAAGTTCATTAAATTCTCTTCCAATCCAATGTCTATTCTTAAAAAATTTTGTAGTATTGCGCTTATAAAATAAATCCCTAATTAAATTTGCAAATAATTAAAAAAAAATGTAATTTTTTTTTTTAAAAAAAAATAAATAAATAAGTTATATATAACATGCCAATTTTTTGACGCATCGTTTTTATATTTATTCGCCCAAAATTGTGGTAATAATTTTTTATCATTCTTTAATAATTCTTCGATTTTTTCATAATCAATTTTTAACTCTATTGTCTTGATTTCAGGACATGCCTGTTTACTGTCATTATTATCAGTCATATCAACAGTATTCATTTTTGATTTTATTCTTAATTATATTTCCTTAATAATAACAATCAATTTTGATGGGACATTGAGTAACACAATTTAATTTTCACGTGACGACGGTTGATTATCTAATTAGTATCCGTTCCTAAAATCAATGCTTTGATAACGTTATCTTTTCTTTCTTTAACTGTTTCAAAAGCTTTCACAGCATCTTGAAATTTAAACCTATGGGTTATAAGAGGTTTTAAATTAATAAATCCGGCACTAACTAGCTGTACAGCTTGTTTATAGGTATTGCAATAACGGAAAGACCCCATAAATTTAATCTCACGAACTCCGATATCAGCTATTGGAATTGGTACAACTTCCATACCCATCCCTACTTGCACAAATGTTCCTTTAGACTTAGTCATCTAATACAAAATATATATTAATTTAAATAGTTCAGTTCTTCTAAACAAATTTATTCGCACTTACATAAATACCAGTTTGGATACAAGTTTCAACACCAGAGCATTCTAATATAACATCAGCTTGTTCAACGCCAGATTCCAATAACTTTTGTGAAAATCTTTTAGCGAAATTGACTGAACTTAAACCTTGAGGAATCTCTCTTTCCGCTAATACAACCTCATTAGCCACATAATTTTTCGCAAAATCTAATCTCGATTGATTAATATCTACCATAGTAATTTTAACAGCACCTGATGCTTTTGCTGCAGCTCCCGCCAACAATCCAACTGGTCCAGCTCCAAATATTATTACAGTTTGACCTGCTCTAAGGTCTGCTAATTTACATGAATGAATTCCAACTGATAGTGGTTCAATTAATGCTGCTTCTTCGAGTGATGGAAAATTATCCGGTAATTTTACACAAAAATCCTCTGGACAACAATAATATTGACAAAGTGTACCTTATAATTTATATCATTTACAAAAATTAATTATGATATTTTAATGTTAATAATGAAGTATATTAAAATAAGAACCATTAATTGGTGGAGTTGCCGCGAATTTCATATCTTTACACAAGTTATATTGACCATTTTTACAAAAATGACAAATATAACAAGGTATACCAGGTTCAATTGCGACTTGATCGCCAACCTTCAAGATTTTACAATCTCTTCCAATGTTTGTCACAATGCCAGAGGATTCATGACCTAAAACCATTGGTTCCTTAACTATAAAGTCACCGATATGGCCTTGAACCCAATAATGAACTTGGAAATAAAAGATATTAAAATGTGAAATAATAATAAATAAAATTAAATTTGTTTACTTTATAATGTACTTTTAATATAAAGTATATACGAAATAAAGCTTTATCATTACCGTCAGAGCCACAAATTCCAGTTACTTTGACAGCAATTTCAACTTCGTTTGGTTTTGGTGATGGTCTTGGGCGATTTTCGGCCTGAATATCGCCAATGCGCTTAAGAACCCATGAAATATTCGAGTTTTCTGGCATTATACCGTGTGAATAAAGCGTAAAATGAACAAGTTCCAAAATGATCAACATGATCTCTCGAAATCGAGTTATAAATTTTTTAGTTCGGAAAGTTCAGGGCTTCACAAATCGTTCGTATAAATCACCGGTCGGTAAAATGCAACTAAACAATATAATTGGTTGTCGCGTCAATTCATCAATATCGAGATAAGAATGAAAAACTATCCCCTGCACGATGACAAATATGAGTGCTGTAAATACTTTTCACGGTTACGTAGAATTGGACAGGGGGTAAACGTTGATAAAGTATCAATCTAATCAAAGGATTTTTTTTTTTTAAAAGCAGGTTGTCCTCTTTTCTTAGCTACCACGTATACAGTTCTGAATAAAGATGAAATACAAGCTTTCGCGTCCAATACGCCAATGTTCGTTTATATGGCAACGTATGTTGTCGCGCTTTACTTTAGGTTATTTCCTTGTTCATTTGGTAATTACAAATAAAACTTTTGACACAGACAAATTGTGGTTACGGCTTATAATTAGGTTTTGGGACTAATATTCGCTCATTAAGTGCCTCTGCACTTACGCCTGCCAAACCACGATTATATGGTCAGCCAACAGCGAAAACTCACCCACATTTGATGAAACCGGGAGAAGGTAAGCAAGTATTTTTTATGAATTATATTCGATAATTTTCTTATGCCAATTTTCGCTTTTTCTTATATCAAATTGAAAGTAACACCAGGAATAACAGCTACCGAATACGAGTTTAGAAGAGCAAGGTTGATGAATATGCTTCCAGAAAATAGTGTTGCAATCGCATTAGGGTATCGAACAAGATATATGTCAAACAAAGTATTGTTCGTATATTTTAATAAAATTTATATCAAGAGAATATCAACTTTTATTTTTGTAACAAATTTATGTTTATTTACAGATATATATCATAAAATTTACAATTTATGCAGTACAAAGCATAATTTAAAATTTTTTTTATAATTATTTTTAGAGATAAAAATGAAAATTCTCATGATTTCATCTTTTTTTTTATATTTATAGTTATCCGTTCCATCAAAATACCGACTTCTTTTATTTATGCGGTATGAGCAATATGATTATTACGTAACTAATAAATTAATGTAATTTAATAAATTCATATTACTTTTATTACGCCTAGGTTTTAATGAACCAGACGCGGCTATAGTTTTGGGTATTTAATGATTTTACTTGTTTATACTCAAAATATTTTATTTTTATTTTTTTTGAAAGTATATTATGCATTAGATGAATTATATTTATTTTTTTCCATCGTATAAATGTAAGAAAAGAATAATACTCGAAAGGGATATAAAATGACAATGTTTGTGCCGCCAAAAAATACAAGTGTTGAAATGTGGGATGGTTCTAGAACTGGAGTATTGGGTGCAGTAGAAATATTTGGCGCAGACGAGGTATAATATTTGCCATAAAAATTAAGTGATTTACGCGTACATATGATGAATTGCCACATTCTTCCGCAATGATAGGCTATAGAATCGACAAGATTCAACTCAAAAATCAAGGAAATCGTAAAAAATTACAAAGATATATACATAGATCTCCCTGCAAAAACAAATATTCTTTCAAGTGATAGTATTTATAAAAGTACCAGCCGAGCTTATGGTATTCCCTCATTTCATACATTTTCTTATTGGTTTAATTATTGTCGAGATCACCTCGATAGATTAATACGCCCTCATCGTTTCTCCTCTATCTCAACTATGTTTGGCTCTCAAGTAAAACCGTTAAGTCGTATAATTCAGGAATTGAGACTTATTAAAAGTGATAGTGAAATTGCGTTAATGAAAGTGGCCGGACAAATCACTGGTAAAGCATTCATTGAGGTATATTTTTCTGATTCCCTGATTTCGTATTTTATTATTATATATAAATGATTTACGTTTGTTTAATCTTTAAATAGACAATTAAGTTTACAAACCTCGGATTTACTGAACATGACTTATATGCAAAAGTAGATTTTGAATGCCGGATTCGTGGGGCGCAGTATCTTGCATATGTACCAGTGGTGGCAGGAGGAATTAATGCTTTAACATTGCACTATGTAAGGAACGATATGCCATTACAGTAGGTCATTTATTTTGATATTTGATACGGGCTAGAAAGACTTTTTATTAATTATTATCTCTATCATATATATTAGAAATGGTGACTTGGTATTAGTAGACGCGGGTAGTGTGAGTATTTTACCTTTGCATAACTAACGTGGAATTTTATTATTTAATTGTTTTTATTATTGCTGATAGGAATACCATGGTTATGCTAGTGATATTACGCGAACCTGGCCAATAAATGGTAAATTTTCGCCAGCTCAACGTGATCTTTATGAGGTGGTGTTAAATGCCAACAGACAATGCATCAAGGTAAAGAATTTGTTTGAAATTGTTGTGTTATACTTTCTTTATGATTAACGATGTTATAATATAATTTAGCTTTGTACTGAAAAAAAAAATATTTCACTCAATAAAATACATGAAAAATCTGTTCAATTTATAAAAGAGGGATTGTCAAGTCTTGGATTTGATCTTGTTGAAGGAGTATGAATTCAACTATATTTCCACTATTTTTTTCATATTACTTACCGTTTTTTTATGATTAGGACGTGGACCGAGTATTATATCCTCATCACGTTGGACATTATCTTGGATTAGATGTTCATGATACGCATGACCTAGAACGTTCACGAATTCTAAAAAGTGGAATGGTGATAACAATAGGTAATGTGATATATCATTATCAATTTTTATTTTGTTTTAATTATTTTAATTTTAAATTTCAAATTATTTTAGAACCAGGCGTTTATATTCCTCCTAATGATGCTTATCCAAAACACTTTCATGGCATGGGAATTCGTATAGAAGATGATGTATTAGTTGGTGAAACTGATCCATACGTATTAAGTTCAATTGCACCAAAAGAAATTGTTGATATTGAATATTGTATGGAAAATTAAATTAGAATGAAATCATTAATTAAATTACAATAATAATAATAGTAATAGATTGTATTTTTTAACTATAAAAAGCAATTTTTAATATAATGATTTTATTATCATTAAATTTATTGTTGAATTACATATAGTTCATTTAGGTTTGTTTCTTTACATACAAAGATACATTCAACTCTTTTAAGTGCACACTTTTTAAATGCATGCACTATATATTTTTCTCTAACATGTATTATATACAGTTAACTCCTTATAATGCACCACTTATAAGTGCATTTCCTTCCTAAATGCATACTTTAGTTCAATTCCAAGTATATATGACCTCTAATTATTTACTCTATAAATATATATCCTTTATAATTGCATGCTTTTTTTGGATGTATTTATAGAGTTAATTATATTTTTTCTTTAAATTCATTCTAATCTGTATAACAAAATTTAAAATAAAATATCTTAGTCAATATATTGCACCTACAGAAATAAAATATATATCAAATATTTATCTTAACAAGATAAATCTAACAAGCTTAAAATTATTAAATCCAATCACTAGTTCTCAAAATAGCTAAAAAGTTAATATAATTTTACATTTGAAAACAAAATTTATTATAGGTTATATAAAATTAGGACTGAATTTTTTTAGTATTATTCAGGGTCTTAGTTAATCTCAGCCAAATAGTTAAATATTAGAATAAATTATATTTTTAAATATTAATTTACAAATATATATATATAATATAATAAATAAAAATTTATTACAATATTTTTATAAATTATATTACCGTATATCACGGGCCATAGTACCCCCCCTATGCATAGTACCCCCTTGAAAAATTTCATAGAATTGTATAGTACCCGGGGGATATTTTACAATTATCTCGTGATCTAGTGATCAGATTTGAGCCATCATTTTTTTGTTTGATAGCTCTCATTGAGCTCTTCAAAATAAAAAATAGATCGTTCAAATTGGACTGGTAGATCGTGAGATATTCGCAAAAAACGGAATTTTTAGGCTTTGTTTAGTACCCGGGGGTACAGGGTCAAACTCCCGATTTTTGCAAGATACCCGGGGTACTGTGGCCCGCTATATACGGTATATACTATATATATAATTTTATTCAACTATTATTTGTACATTTTGGGGTTGATCACCCTTGGCTTATTGGTTAGTCCGTGAATCCCCTTGTGAAGCCTGAGTATGATGAGGTTGCAGGTTCGATTCCGCCGATCACAGAAATTAAAAGAATTTTACTGCGGACACTACTACCAATAGTGTAAAGGTACAGGGATTAATGTAGGCTGGACTGCATCATGGTGAATTAGTATATACCGGTCGGCGGCATATTTCAACAAAGGGTCATGGTGTCCTCCTAGCGTTCCCTATGAGGCCATTGGGAAGCCTATTGTCCTGTCTGGATGGTCACTGCTTGCATACCATCTGGGTGAGCTCTTGTCTTGGTGGTCACTCTACAATACCACTAAGGG